TACTTGGGACACATACACACACACTCTCTCTCTTACAACACCCCCCCCCCCCCAGAGGTAAGAGCTAACAAAGCAAAAGAGAAGCAAACAGATAGGACTTCCTGTACTCGGATAAACTGAAACAAGATTGCATATGCAATCTGTACAGAGATGCAGTTCATATAGTAGACATCAGCTACTTGGATAGCCAGCCCGACCTGTGTTCACAGCCTAGGATGCTCACTGTCACTATGCAGCTGTGGCCGTTCCTCCTGCCTCTACTTCCCAAGTGCTGGATTACAGGTTCATGCTGTCACACCCGGATGAACTGTTATTTTAAGGGTCACTGCCACCATCGATGGACAGTTCTGGTTTTGTGTGTGTGTGAGGTGCGGGAACACGACTTTACACACACACACACACACACACACACACACACACACACACACACACACGAGAGGACGATGTTTAGGTGTGCTCACTTATTCTTTTTTGAGGTGGTACCTCTCTTAACTTGGAGATTGTGCTTTTCAGCTATGCTGGCAGGCCCCAAGCCCCACTGAGCCTTCTGCGCCCCTCCTTTACACTGACGGAGTTACAGGCATACAAAAGACCGATCTGGCTGCTGGTGTGGGTATTGGAATCTGACCTCAGGTATTCATGGTAAACTTACTCTGAAGAGCTGCATGAATCAATCACTCAGCAACAAATCTGTTTGGACTCTCTTTTCCACCACATTCACAGTCAACCTGACAATCAGAAACAGGTTTTTTTCCTGCCCACTCACACAACATAAACTCTGGCCAAATATCAAATATTACCCAGTTCCCTGGTAACTGTCTTTAGTTAGTTGAAGGGTCTTTGTGTTAAGTAGCTTTTTATTGCTGGGATAAACCGTAAGCAAAGCCCACTTGCAGAGAAAAAGGGTTATTTCAATTTATACTTCCAGCTCTCAACACATTATTGAGAGAAATCAGAGTAGGAGATCCATGCAGAATCCTGATGCAGAAACCATGGAGGAAGGCTGCCAACAGGCTCTCTCACTGACTTCTGCAGTAAGCTTTCTTATATCAGCCCACAGTAGGCTAGGCCCTCCCGTATCAACCAGTAAGCAAGATAATGCACCACAGGCCTGCCACAAGCCAATATAATCTGGGATCCCTCTTCCAGAGTGACTCTAGTTTGTGTCAAGGTGACAATAAAAACTAGTCAGTACAGACTTGCTCAGATTCTCAACTTCTATCAGTGACAAATCAGAGATGGAGGACAGGCTTTATCTCACCAGCTTCATTTGAAAGGCACTGAGATAGGCTGGGCATTGGTAGCGGAGGCAGGCAGATCTCTCTGAGTTCAAGGCCAGTTAGAGCTACATATCAAGAACCTGACTAAAACAAACAGGTAATCAGCAAAGGTGCTAGCCTCATGCAAAAGTGTACAAACTCAGCAGCTTTATCGTTTTTCTTTGTTTCTTTACTGGAGACAGGATTTTCTGTATAGTACTGGAACAGACCAGGTGGGCTTCAAAATCAGAGATCATCTGCTTCTGCCTCCCAAGTGCTGGAAATAAAGGCATGTGCTACAACGCCCAGTTCACCAGCTGTTTTATTTTTATTTTTTAAACTAAAGTAAGCCAGCTTTAAAACAATAAGGTTAGCCAGGCATGGTAGTGCATACCTTTAGTCTTAGCACTTGGGAGACAGAGGCCAGCTGGGAGTTATGTAAATACGTTGTCTCAAAAAACAAAACAAAATCCAGTAACTTGAATTTCCTTTTTCTTTTTCAAGACAGAGCTTTTCTTTGTAGCCCTGGCTGTCCTAGAACTCCCTCTGTTGACCAGGCTGGCCTCGAACTTAAGAGATGCATCCTGAGTGTGAGTTCTGGGATTAAAGGCATGTGTCACGACTCAGCTGCCCTTTCTTCTTTAAAAGACAAGTCTTAATATATAGTCGTACTTGGCCTTGAATTTACAGTGAATCTCCTGTCTGTCTCCTGAGTTCTGAGTGTTACAGGTGCACACCACCAAACCTGCTCTTATTTTATTTTGAAATGGATTTGCTATGTACCTCTGGCTAGGCCAGAACTTGTGATGAAGACCTCACTGGCGCTGAAGTTTCAATTAATCTTCCTAAAACTGCTTCTCGAATGCAGGGATTGTAGACACACACCACCAACTTTGGATGCTGTTCTTAATTTTACTAACAAAAAACAAAAACAAACCTCAAAGAAACAAACATCGACTATATTCACCTGACAGTGAATGAGTGCATGACTATATTCACTATATTCACCTGTTTAAACTAAACAGGCCCAACCTTCTAGAAACATTATGGCCGCATTTACTAATATGAACACATCATCATCCTATGACTATTCTCAATTTTATAGGCACACACAATAAAAATATACTCATATGTTAGCTAAAAAACACGCTTCTGCTATTCACAGCTGAATTAGCTATTCATCAAACAAAAGCCTGAAAAGCACTCCATTGTTCCCCAACAGAAGAATCCATAAACTAGAGTGGGAACAGATGAACACTGCATAGCAAACAGAAGGACCCAATCACTCACAACAGGGTATACACATCTTACATAAGTGGTAGCCAGAAAAAAACCAAACCACTATGATTACAATTAATAAACTAGCCACGGTGTTTGGAAGGCACAGATGAAGAACATGATAGGAAGACATGGGAGACTGTTACAGAGGCTATAATCTCTATTAAACTCATTAAGGAAACACTTATGAGTTATATATTCTCCCAAATGCACATTAATTTTTATTTAAAATTTATATTAATTTAATATTTTATGTATGGAATTTTTATGAATGCAGGGATATGCATGACATGGCAAGAATGTTAGGGGTCAGAAGATAGCTTTTAGGAATCAATTTTGTCCTGTCTTGGGTTCCATGCATCAAGCTCAGGTAATCAGGACTGGTTATCAAGTGCTCTTATCTACTGAACCATTGTATGGCTCTGTGTATTATACACATAAACACAAACTTACACAAGAACAGCTTGTCACAAACCAAAAAAGACACACCCTCTCACAATGAGTATCTGATGTAGAAACACCTATTCTGGTGAGAAAGTAAGGGTAAGATGAGCTGACCTTTTGTGCTGGCTGCTCTCATGACTACGCTTGCTGGCCCCACCTCATGAGGAGGAAGTCACCTGGGGCCTCTCAGCCTAGGGGCACAGGAAGCAGCACAATGGTGCTGGCTTCACTCCGGAATTAGAAGCAACTCAGTGTGAATCCTGGCTCCGCCATGACTCAGTGGCCTTGCCATGGATTACATCTTCAAGTGCAGAGCCAGGATATCGAGGAATGAAATGAGGTGGCGACACAAGGCAGTGCAATACCTACCAACAAAAGGATGTGCTCTGTCTTCTGAAAGTCCAAGCTGGTCTAGGACAGGCTGGCCTTAGCAGCTGAGACTGCAGTCTAGTCTGGCACCCAGCTTACGGGGTACATTTTGAAATAACTACTGTCCATAAAAAATGACTTTGCAGCCTGTGACAGTGAGCATATGTATCTTTTAAAAGGTCAATTGAAGAGAAAATAAGGCCTACACAGAGATTTTAAGATTGACTCAGTTGGACAGAGGTAGAAAGTGAGTGTCCTGTGGTATGAACACGTCAGATTTCAAAGATGATTTCCAGAATCATATTAATATCAAGTGATAATAGATTCCCCAACGGCAATCTTTTAGGCATGTATGCCCACATACATGTGAAAAGCCAACTTTTTCTTCAGGTTGCTATAATTTTTTTTTTAAAAAAGATTCATTTATTTATTTTTTAATGTTCATTGGTGTTTTGGTTGCATATATGTTGTGTGAGGGCAAAGCCTCTGGAACTGAAGTTATAGATGGTTGTGAGCTGCCACACCAGAAATGAATCCAAGTCTTCTGAATAATATCAGGTGCGTTCAGGATGGCACGGCCATAGACTAAACATGATCCTTTGGAAGAGCAGCCAATGCTCTTACCCGCTGAGCAGTATCTACAGTCCCATTTGTTTGTTTTTTGAGTCACGGTCTCTCTACCAGCCCTGGCTGTTCTGGATCTCACTAGGAAGACTTTGTCTGGCCCCTCTTGGAGCATATAATATAAGCTGTCAGATCACAACTGTTCAACTATGGTTTCTACATGCAAACAAATATGATTGTTAACGTCTAGAAAAGTATTTAAAGATTTGTGCTTAGAAGAACAAAGGTGTTGAGACTTTCTGAGGCTTCAAAGAGCCTCATATATATCTTTAATTGTTTCTTTTGCATATCTTGGAGAGAAGGTTTGCATTCCATTCCAAAAAGCACAAACTCTGGCTCTAGGAAAACTTATAATTGTAAAATTAAAAATGACACAAGTTTACAGAACTATGAAGAAAATAGTATTCAATTATCTTATGAAAAAATATTGAAAATGGTAGAAAGGTAATGGGTCATGAAAAGTTCATTGTGTCTTTCAAGTTTTCTTGAACTAATGACAGTATATAGATAGTCTAAGAGTACCTTTCCCAACCTGGTGCTAGGTCTTAAGAAACTCTGAATGAGACCTGATAAGCTAGGGTCAGATGGAAGAGGAGGAGGACCTCCCCTATCAGTGGACTTGGAGAGGGGCATGGGAGGAGATGAGGAAGGGAGGGTGGGATTGGGAGAGACTGAGGAAGGGGGCTACAGCTGGGATACAAAGTGAATAAAGTTAAAATTAATATAAAAAAATAAAAAATTAATTAAATTAAAAACAAACAAACAAACAAACAAACAAACAAACAAACAAACTCTGAGATACAATGCTGATTCAGAGGATAATGTACCCAAGGAAAAATCATCTATAAGAGAGAATGGTCAAAATAAGTGGCTAGATTTATGTGATTGTAATGACAGAACTCACTTGAATTTGTATATGAAAATGGAAAATGTCAACATTTTGTTAGAAACAACTCCTTGGCACCCTCCCTGACGATCTGCTGCAAGATGGACAAACTTTTCCTGTTAGCAGAGCTCTCCTCTTACCTGGCTGGGGAGGATGGGGTGGCGGCATCTGATGGTGCATCAAAGGGTAGGGAGGTGGCTGCTGATGAGGCATCATGCCAGGATGCCCTGCTGCTCCAAGAGGAGCCAGACCAGGGCCTCCTGAGTGCTGGTGTGCTTGCTGAGGGTTCTGGCCATGTTGCTGCTGCTCCATTTGTTGCCGAGCACGTAACTCAGCATATTTCAACTGTTCCATGTGGAAGTTCTGGCGCTCAGTGAGCAACTGCTGTCTCTGTTGTTCTAGCTGTAACAAAGGAAGTAGAAGAAAAATGTTACCAAGAGGCTTCTCAGGACTCACTCTATCTATCTATCTATCTATCTATCTATCTATCTATCTATCAATCATGTATTCAGTTTTCTGCCTGCATGTATGCCTACATGTCAGAAGAGGGCACAGGATCTCATTATAGATGGCTGTGAGCCACCATGTGGTTGCTGGGAAATTGAACTCAGGACTTCTGGAAGAACAGCCAGTGCTCTTAACCTCTCAGCCATCTCTTGAGCCCCTTCTTAGGACTTATGACAAGTAGGGCATTTTTCTGATTCTTGAGTTTGAGCCACACCATGCTACACAGGAAGAGACCCCTTACCAGGGATGTCCCTCTGTTTAGTCTAAAATCTTTTTGTTAAACTCTACAGCACTGGGGCGAATGCCCTTTGGCCCCACTTTCAGCATCATCTTCACTTCATCACCGTCACCATCATCTACTGTTATCATTATAATTATTACTTGAGACAGTATTTGGCTTTGTTGTTCAGACTACCCTTGCATTCCTGGGCTCCAACAATCTTTGTGTTAGGTTCCAAATTGCTGGGACTACAGTCATGTGCCACTATGTATGGGTAAGCCTGCAGGTATTATTTTATTTATTTACATGAAAACAGAGTCTCGTAGTATAGCCCCTCCTGGCTTCAAATACCTGCCTGCCTTTGCCTCACAAATGTTGGGATTAAAGGTGTGCAAACATGTTCAACTGGGCTTGCAAACATTTAAAATTACATTTCATAATGATCTTGATACTTTTCTAGATAAAAAATCTGCCTACTTGTTCCTCACAGGCAACATTTAAAGCCCCTTCCAGCTTCCCCGGTTCTACCTTCTAGATGTGATCCACTCAGTAGCTGTCTATTTTAGAATATAAAATGTTGCAGAAGTGACAAAACCTTAGGCGAACACATATTTTTGTTTTCCTATGTGGACCTCTGGAATAGTATGGCAAAGGCAATATTAGATAAAATTGCACTGGGTGACAAATTCACAATGTTCATTAACTAAACAGAATTTAAAAAGAAAACTTGAAGAATACGCATTTCAATACTGAGGGCTTGAAAACAGCACTCAGTTCAGTGGTAGAGTACAGGCATGAGGCTCTGGTTTAAATCCAAATGACACAAAAAGAAATGAATACACAAAACTAAGAAAATTAATTAGGCGAGTTTGGAGCCCTGGCACTTAGGGGCGGAGGCAGGAGGATCCACCGGGTGCAGTGGTACATGCCTGTAACCCCAGCACTCAGCAAATCAAGAGGCTACCACAGAGAAACCCTGTCTCAAAAACCAAAAAGAGCTCAAGATCCTGCTCCGCATTTCATGAGGCTGAAGCCAGTTTGGGTTGGAGACACTGACTAAAAACAAATATTGTAAGTGCAGAAGAATTCATCAAATAGTAATTCATTTAATAGTAACTGAGCCAATGAAGTACACCTTAAATTCTGGGTCGATAAGAAAATCAACCTAAATAGAAAGAAAATAAAAAGACTAAATGTGTGGAAATATGGAAGGCTATACACATAGGTGGTTACTTGTTTCCCACTCCGTCATTTTCCACATTGGAGTCCTCTCCTAGGGTTGCACTGTGTACAAAGCATACACAAGAGACATCTAGGTACTGAGCTTTTGAAATATGGCCAATGTGAAGAACAGAAATAGGCGCACATGGAGAAGAGAGGATGACTTATTTGAAATGAATGGCTCTACCTACCACATGGATCCCGGCAACTAAACTTAGGTTGTAAGTACCTTTCAGCTCAACCATGTTACTGCCCATTAAAAAACAATAAAATCATTTTACAAAATTAGTATTGTAAAAAACAATTATTATCATTTCATTTATTTAAACTTTGTAACATGACTGGTACAAAAGTCTTAATTACATGTGAGGCTCAAATTTTACTTCTGTTGAATATCACTATTTTCAGCCATTTACTAGGTTAAGAAAATGTAACATTTTGGCTTTTGGAAAGAGCCAGTTCTGTGAATAAACACTATATACTATGATTAGCAAAAACGAGGTAGAATAAGCATGACAACTAACTTACAAAAATTGGGAGAGGTGATCTACTGTGGAATGGAGTGAGAAAGATCACTGCATAGCAGAAGGAGTAGCTGGTAAAGTACCATTGGAGAGCTATGTTCACATGAGGAGGAAGACAGAAAGAGGTAGGAGATGCTCAAGTCCACATCCCGAGATTTGGTTAGATGGCTTGCAGAGCGAGACAGAACTACACACCGCAGTCCCAGTCCTAGCAAGCTGACATGCAAGACTCTTGCCTGGATGGACTTCTTTACATGACAAGAAAGGAACTAGGACCTAAAGAGAGAATGCCCAAAAAAGTTCAATTATGGACGGAGGTTAAGTAACGACACCCAAGAGACCACACAATAAAAGCTCCTGAGCCACTACGTTCTGGACAGTGTGGCTGGTCCTGAAGCTATCTAAGAACTACAGAAATAAGGTAAAGATCTGCTAATGGAGAGACTGTGATGTCTCTGAAGGGATGTTTTCGATCTTCGTACTAACTACTCAGTGTTTCCTTTTATTTATTTTTTTTTGGGGGGGGGGTCTTCTTTTTCAAACTCCAACTAGCCTTTCTTTAGTGGCCTAATTCATCGATTCCTTTTTTTGTTTTGTTTTTCGAGAGAGGGTTTCTCTGTGTAGGCTTGGTTGTCCTGGACTCATTTTGTGATCTGCCTGCCTCTGCCCCGCAGAGCCGTGGGATTACAGGCATGCACCACTATGCCCAGCTTGATGTCTTCTTCGTAAGAAAAACGAAAACAAACAAACAAAAGACCCCAAAAACAAAAACAAACAAGTAAAACCTCTTTATCCTCATCTGGATTCTATGACATCATCTGTGTTCTATGACTTCATCTTGGACCTATGACAACATCTTTATCTTAGCAAAATGGGAGAAAAGAAAGTCAAATACGGTAGAATATGTTCACAATCCTAGTGCCTGAGAGATTTAGGCCAGGAGATTACCAGTGTAGCCCTGCATCAAAACCTATTACCACCACCAGAAAAACACCATAAGAAAAGAATGGAAGCAAAAATTTACTCCTACGTACAATCAGGTACCCTCAATTATACTAGTTATTTCTAAACTTTCTCTGTCATTTCATTTATTCTTTTTTTCTTCTTTTAATTATTTTTAAGAGAGGTGAGACACGGTTGGGTATGAGGAAAAAGGCTTATGACTGGGTCTCTCTTGCAGCCCAAGCTAGCCACAAACTCAACCATAATGGCCTGGCCCTACCCTCCTGGCTACTCTGATAAACTGTATCTGTCATCTTAAAGACAGAAAGTAATTAAAAGGAAGTAATTATGTAACTAAAAAAGGTAACTAAAATAACTTAAAAAAGGACAAATGATTAAACACACATTCCTGAAAAGAAAACCCAGTTTAAATACAAAGCTTTAATGTAGGATGAACAAGTCTCCTGAGGTGAGAATGAGGCCCAGATTGTGCTTCCCAATTGGCTCCAGATGGCTCTGGGCTCCCAGATGCCCTAGGCTCATGTCTGCTCTGGGGCAGAAGCAGCAGATCTCAAAAAGCTGCTACATCCTGGCTCACCATGTAAATGAAGTATGCCCCTACTTCACTTTTTATCAAACCAAGTCTAAAGACTGTATAAACCCACACAAGAACCTAGCATTTGATAAAGGTGCCAAGATACAACGGTGAAAAGACAACCTCTTCACAGAGTGGTTCTGAGGAAGCTAGACACCAGGAGTAGAAAAATTAATCAATTCCTCTCTTTACATTGTTCATGAAAGAAAACAAAAAAGTCAGCTCAGGTTAAGACTAGAAACTGAGCCGGGCATGTGATGCATGTCTTTAATTCCAGCATTTGGGAGGCAGGCAGATCTCTAAGTTCAAGGCCAGCCTAGTCTACAGAGTAAGTTCCAGGACAAAATAGGGCTACACAGGAAAATATTGTCTTGAAACCTACATATGCCAAAAGACTAGAAATCCAAAATTTTTTCTATTCTTTAAATTTTTTTCTTTATTATTATTTATTGCAATTTATTCACTTTGTATCCTGGCTGTAGTCCCCTGCCTATCTCCTCCCAGTCCCACCCTTTCTCCCTCTTCCCCTCCAAATCCATAAATTATAAAAAGAAAACAAGATAAAAATATGGCCAACTGGCAGCACAGGAATCTAAGCCCAGCATTCAAGAAGCTGAGGCAGATGAACTACAAGGCAGATGAACCTTGAGGTCTGCCTGGGCTATAGAGCAAGTCCAGCCTCAAAAAAGTGTATGTAATACAGGCAGTGGTGGCACACTCCTTTAATTCCAGCACCCAGGAGGCAGAGAGGCAGGTGGATTTCAGCAAGTTACAGGACAACCAGGTCCACACAGAGAAACCTTGTCTCAGTCTCAAAAAACAAAACAAAAAACCCCACAAAAACTAAACAAAACAAAATAAACAAGGCAAACAAATTATTGATAGAAATGAAAACTAGTGTAGCCACTGTAGAAATCAATACACATACACAAACGTACAACACAATCTGTGCACACAGATCCAAAGGGTCCCTAAACCAACACCATTCAGAGAGAGCTACTCGTGTATGCCTATTGCAACAGTACTCACGACAGTGAAGGCACGGGGTCAGCCTAGATGTCCATCAGCAGGTGAATAGTTCAGAGGAAATGTGGTGTGTATACACAGTGCAACTTCACATAGCTACAGAGAAAGTTATTCCCAGTAAAGTAAGGTAGACTTAAAAAGATAAAGTACCATATGCCTATCTTCTATGTGGAAAGCGCAATGCAAACAAGTATATCAAACAGGGATGAAAGCAGAGGGCAACTATTTGGGGGAAGAAAAGGAAGGTTGAGTAAAATATTATAAAAATCTCATAATGAAATTTACTATTTTGTACACTAATAAAAAAGTAAAAACTACCAAAAATTTTTGAAAAGAATTGAAACCAATTTTGGTGTCCCAAATGTAGTACCATTCTCAATAATCAGGAAGAATGGGAACTAGGAATTTTTAAACAAAAGTTGGCAGTGTTAAGGCATATTTTAAAAGTATTCAACCACTGAGCTACAATTTGACATCTGGAAATCTGTCCCAGTAAATTGTTCGTCTGTGGGCACAAAGCTAATGAGTAAAATGTTATTTCTGATATATAGTTATGTCAGAATCTTAGTGGGAAGAAAATCAATTAGCAACATAAAATATTTATAATCCCAAGTACATACAAATGCTGTGATCATGTAAAAACATAATGAGAATGTTCTGGAAAATACCAAACTAACAGTGACTATACTACCTCTAGGAATAAAGCCTTTTCATAGTGTTAAATATATTTTATGACATATGCTAGGTAGCATGGACAACCTTTGAAAACATGCTAAATGAAAGAAGCCAGAGAGAAAAGGTCACATATTTTAATCACTCCACTGATAAGAACTGTCAAGAATAAGCACTTTGGGCTGGAGAGATGGACTAGCAATTAAGAGCACTGCCTGCTCTTTGCAAGGTCCTGAGTTCAATTCCCAGCAACCACCATCTATACTGGGCTCTGATGCCCTCTTCTGGCATGCAGGTGTACATACAGACAGATCATGCATATACATAAAATAAAAAAAACCGCACATCTACAAAGAGAAAAAAGGGGTCATACCAGTTGGGAAGTGTAGAAAGAGACTAGAAACAGGAGTTATGGCTAGTATGAGTACATTTTTTTTTTGGGGGGGGGGATACTTTTTTTTTTTAAATAGAAAAAACTATTTCAAACTATTTTTAAAACTAGAAAGCTGCCCACTTAACTTCTTCATCTTTAAGTGTGTGTGTATGCAGCCACGTACCACACTGAATGTATGGTAGCTACAGGAAAACTTGGGAAAGCCTCTCCTGTCTCACCATCTGAGATTGAGGGATCACTGGCCTTGTCTACTTAAAACAGTTCTATGAAGCTAGGAGTGGTGGTATATGCCTCCAATTCCAGAACTTGAAGGCTGAGGCTGGAGGAAATTGCATTTGTAATTACAGAGACACCTTTTGTTTTTTTCCAAGATAGGGTTTCTCCGTGTAGCTGTCCTAGAACTCTCTCTGTAGACTACACTGGCCTCAATCTCAAAAGAAATCAAAAGATACCTTTTAATATATTTATTATCTAACTTAAAAAAATAAACCTAAACATCTATTTACTTTTTTTTTTTAAATTGTATTCTCCGTATACTGGTATGAAGGTTGTCAAAATTCATGGAACTGGAGTTATAGCTACAGTTGTGAGCTGCTCTGTGGGTGCTGGGAATTGAACTCGGGTCCTTTGGAAGACCAGCTAGTGCTCTTAACTACAGAGTGTTAACTAAACATCTATTTATTTTTATTGCCAAGGTTTATAAAATAAATGAAGGAACTGTGAAATGGCCCAGTGTGTAAGAGCATGCCAAATTTGATGATCTAAGTTTGATCCACCAGTCCACATGGTGGAGAGAAAACTGAGTCTAACAGGAGATCTGAGTTCAAGGCCAGCCTGATTTACTTAGAGTGCTCTAAGACAGGGCTACACAAAAAAGACCCAGTTTCAAAGATAAACAAAAGTAATGTTAAGGTTGGGCTAGTGAGATGGCTCAGGGGATAAAAGATTTAAAGATTTGCTTCAAAAGCCAGTGATGTAAATTCAATCCCTAGAGCCCATGCAAAGATATTTTGGATGCCAGCACTCAGAAGGCTAGAACATGAGTATCTGAGGTTCAAATTCAAGGACAGCCTGAATTGCATGAGGACCCTATTCTCTCTCCCCTCATAAATGCTGTCTACCTATAATATAAACAACTACAAAATATTGACAAGATCGTACATTATCCTATAGATATTTTTCATTTTGGTTCTTTAGGTTTCGCGTTGGAGACACAGTCTCCTGTAGTTCCAGACTGGCTTCAAACTTGCTACGTAGAACACTACTGACTCCAGATTCTTTTGCCTCCATCTCAGGAGTGCTGGCTACAGGTGTTCCCAGCAATGCCAGACTCTGCACCTACGGACACTTGCATTATTCTGTCCGCCACTTCCTAGGACTATGGACTAAAAGCTGAAAATAACACAAATTACTCATATAAATATGGTGTTAGCGAACCTGTCCGCTGTCCTCACGACTCTGGTGGCGGCTACCTATACGCTCTGCTCTGAAGCATGCACTGCTGCACTAAATTTCCTGTAGTACTCTTAAACCAGGCATACAAAGCATAATGGCATCCAAGGGGAGCACACAACAGAGCCCTCTTCAGAATTAAGGTACTCATCATAAACAACTACAAGTGAGCTTAGGTTCACAAAAGCTTTTCTCCCCAACTCTGTATTCTCCCAAATTGCAAAAAGGAAGACGAGGGATGAAAAAGAAGGAAAAAATGGTAAGGGGTCTGACAACAATCCATCCACACACATTGCCAAGTACTCAAGTATCAGCTGATACTGGTTAGCCTCAAAACTAGAGTTAATGAGCAGTTTCTTTTTCAATATTTGCTGACTGTAATGGAGACATTCAAAGAAAAACTCCAAGATAAAATGATACATAGCCAGTCCTATTATACTCATGAAAAAAAGAAAACTGCTGTTGTTTCTGTGTGTTTCAAGCTGAGTCTGCACTGTTTTGATAAATGTCATTTTGGTCTTCTTGTAGCATGCTTTAGAATGTAACCTGTGACTGAGGGATGGCTTTCTAAGTCTCACAGAAAGATACAATATATTAAGAGTCTAACCAAGGGGGCTGGAGAGATGGCTCAAGAGGTTTAGAGCACTGGCTGCTCTTCCAAAGGTCCTGTGTTCATTTCCCAGCAACCACATGATAGCTCACATCCATCTATAATGAGATCTGGTGCCCTCTTCTGGCATGCAGGCACACATGCAGGCAGAATACTATATAAATAATACATAAATTTAAAAAAAAGTCTAACCAAAAATAGATAAAATTATTAAGAGCAGTATAAACATAAATTATGGGAAATAAGAACAGTGGGGCTGGAGAGATGGCTCAGTGGTTAAATGCACTGGCTGCTCTTGCAGAGGCTCCAGGCTCTATTCCCAGCACCCACATAGCAGGTCACAACTGTCTGCAATTTAAGTTCCAGAGGATCCAACGCCCTCTTCTGGCCTGTGGGTACTTCATGCATGTGACAAAACACCCATTCACAAAAAGTTAAAAAAAGAGAGAGAGAGAGAAAGAGAGATAGAGAGAAAGAAAGGAAAGAAGAAAGAAAGAAAGACAGAAAGAAAAAGAAAAGTTATATTTAACTCCTCTGGATTTTGTGAAATCACAACCACTCTTGGACTTTAATTTGTAGAGTCCAACTTAAAACTCACAACTGACTAGTGAAGATAGTCCGCTGGTTTGTTTTGTTTTTTTGAGACAGGGTTTCCTCAGAGTAGCCTTGGCTGAAAAAACAAAACAAAAGGAAAGGACAAAAACAAACCAACCAACCAACAAACAAAAAACAAAACAAAAAGAAGAAAAGTCTTAAAGCAACTGTGTTGGGGAAAGCCAAGAAGGAACGCGCCCCAAAATGAACCAAACTGACTTGGCAGTTTTCAAGATAGTTATCAGCTTCACTTATTTCACCCAAGAAGTGGGACAGAAGTATATACATATCAGAGACTCTAGGTTAAAAGACAGTGACAATGTCCTGTTTGTCCCTAAGTTATAGCACAGCAGGTAAGCACGTTTGACATCTTGCTGTCTCTGCCTGCCCAGGAAAGCTCACAGACTGACTGAGCAGCATCACTGTTGGATTCCTCAGTGAGGACAATCAGGGTAACCAGCATGTTTGTTTCTAGGTTTATAAAATACCTTTTAGAAGACTAAACTAGAATATTTAGATATTATACACTGGCACAACGACTGACCTAACTAACAAGTTCACAAGGCTAACAGCTTACTAATGTATGATTTCATGTGTAGTTCTTGAGTAGCAACTTGTAGACACCAAACTAATCACACGTAAGCAGCAGAACCTAAGCAGCTTCGGCAAATGCTGTTTGCGGATCAACCTGGGCCAACCTCCAGCTACCAGTCAACCTCCAGAAGAGGGAAAGAGGAGTGAGAGATAAAGTCAAAGGAAATGTAAGTAGGACATTACAAAATAAAAGGGAACCAGTTTTTCTAATACTTATGCTAAAGAAATTAAAAAAAAAACAAAAAACCCTGAACCAGACACTGGATTTATAGGGTTTTACTTCACTGACAAATAAGGCAGAAGTATAAGATTTAACTTTCGTAAAAGAGATATCTTAATATTAAGTATGTACACAGCCAAGACATACAAAGAATTAGAAGTTACAAAGTAGATAGAAACCATTATTTACAATCATTGGTTCATCAAATATAGGGAATGACAAAATATCTAGAGAGAACAATTAAACAGGACACCATTATATTACCTAACTTCTATCTCTGAAAGGTAGTCGGGTTAAATTTCCAAAGCACCACCATGAAAATTCCACCATGTAATACTTACAGCTTCTTTCTCTCTGTCCATAATAGTCTCCAGCTCTTCGAAATGTCGCAACTTGATCTCTAATTTCTTCATCTGTGTCTCAACCAGAAGAGCTACCAGGGACTTGATCTTTCTCTCCTCCACAGCAGCCAGGTGCTAAGAGGAACGATGCTACAGTTATTTAAGAAGCTGAGATTTAGAGAAATAAGTTTTATAGGTCTCTATGTTTCTTCTAAATATTTATTTCAACGGAAAGCATTAACTCTTTGTTCTATCAGAGAAAATGCCTGTTTCTTATAGAAATAGAGAAAAACACCACCCACCCACCCCCCGACCAAGGGAAGGAGAGACAAAAAAACCCTCATGTTTTTGAAAGGGGCCATCAGAATGGCTCAGTGGGTAAAGGCAACTGTTTTTCACCTGAACAAACATGAGATTAACCTTTAGAAACCACAAGGAGAGAATCAAATTGTCCTCCACACCATGGAATGGCTTCTCACACCCCAGAAACATTAAGTTATTGTAGCACAATCTTTAATTTTTTTTAATAATTTATTCTTATTGTATGTGCACTGGTGTTGTGCCTGTATATGTGTCTGTAAGGTATCAGATCCCCTGGAACTGGAGTGATACAATTGTGAGCTGCCATGTAGGTGCTGGGAATTGAACTCAGGTTCTCCGGAAGAGCAGCCAGTGCTCTTAACCTCTGAGCCAGCTCTCCAGCCCAACTTAAGTTATTGTAAAGAATTAGAGGAAATTCCTCCTAAGGAACACTCTACCAAAGGAGGAGAGCCCACGTAGGGAAGGTTATCTATCGGAACAAAGACTTTTTAAATATTTATGGATTTTTTTGTTTGTTTTTGAGACAAGGTCTCACTATGTAGCTCAAGCTGTCCTAGAACTCACAGAGAATCACCCGTTTTTGAATCCCAGGTGCTGAAATTAAAGGTGTGCACCACCGCCAGCCACACAAAGACTCTTGATAAGCTCTATCAACCAGCCTACATATCTACCTACTTATGTATCTATGTGAACTCAAAGGATGAGGTAAGAACAACAAGGATGATTTGCTCTCATCTGTCCTCACCATCCTTTCCTTGCTATCAATTTTCCAGGGATAAACATTTTTTTTTTCTCTTTAGCATCAAATACCCTATCACAAATGAATGGGCAAAAAAGACCAGATAGAATTTCACCCTAAGCTTGAGGATAATATTCAGAGCTACACACAAAAATACAGGTGCAGATGTATTTCTGAGTTCAAGGCCACCCTGGTCTACAAATAGAGTCCCGGACAGCCAAGAAAAATCGGACACAGAGAAACCCTGTCTTGAAAAACTGAAAAAACAAACAAACAAAAACAAAACAAAAAACAAAGAAAAACAAACAAATTAAAAAACAAACAAACCACCAAACACAGGTGCAGAAAGGAAGTCTCTCTGGGAAGACGCTCAACGACTCCACTGCCATGAGTCGAACAGTGAGCTGCATTCATGCTTCTTGTGTACTAAACAGCACAAAGAAGAAACTGGCCTGTTATTCTTACTTGGCCAGACTCTACCTGCAATGATCAGACCCCACAAAATCACATTTTTCAGTCTCTATATCATTATACGCTTAATTTTGCATGCATCGTATTTATACACAAAACTGAATTATAAGTAGAAAATTATAACCTTATTTCCTGTAGAACCTAAGAGTTAACATGTAGGAAAAATTTAAGATAGGCTTGTAGAAGCGAAACAGATATGACAGCTTTAACTATCATTCTTAAAAATTCTTTCATTACACAGATTTTTTCAAGAAACTGTTTCTCTCTCTAGCCCTGGCTGTCCTGAACTCGCTCTGTAGACCAGGGTGGCCTCCAATTCTCAGATCTGCCCTCTCCTGCCTCCTGAACGCTGGGATTAAAGGTGGGTGACTAAGACCCAGCCAATCATTTTTTATTTAAAAAAAGTATATATATAAATGTCTGTGAATCTGTCTGCTGTGGACAGTCTCCTTGGGATGCAGAAGAAGACATCAGATTGTCTAGAGATGGAATTACAGGCACTTATGAGCCACCCAAAGTGGGTACTGGGAACTAAATTTAGGTCCTCTGGAAGAATAAGTTATTAACCAACTGAGCCATCTTTCTGGACTCAACTACTATTTTTCCCCTTTGTTTTATTAACTGACATTTTCCCTGCCTCCTTTGGTTTTGGGGACAGGGTTTCTCTTGTGTAACAGAGCCTTGCTGTCCTGAACTCACTTTGTAGACTAGGTGGGCCTCAAACTCACAGAGATCCGCCTGTCTGTGCCTACCTAGTACTGGGATTAAAGGTGTGCGGCACCTTGCAAGCCTGGCTCTAACGACATGTTTTGTATATATGGGTGTTTTTTTCGCATGTGCCTTCACACCAGAAGAAGGCATTATAGATGGTTGTGAGGCACCATGTGGTTGCTGGGAATTGAACTCAGGACCTCTGGAAGAATAGCCAGTGCTTTTAAGAGCTAAGTCATCTCTCCAGCACCCTATAATTTTATTTAAATTATAACTTTTATTTCATTATTGAGCAGTTATTTGTGACTAGGAGCCTGGGTACCACAGTAGATTTGTGGAGGTCAGAGAAAAACTTTAGGAAGTTAAGTTCTCTACAAGGTACTCAGGTCTGCAAATCCTTGTTAATCTTAGTGGTTTGTGTCTATTTTTAAAAAAACAAACAAGAAAACCCATGTATAAGACACAAAATTGCAAAGTTACAAACAGATGTCAAATAGTTTCGTTAGTTCTGTCATACACCCACTGTCAACACTTTCCATGAGAGGACTAACTGCATAGACCCATCTTTATGTGACTCTAACTCACTGAAAACTATAGGTTTATGTAGGAAATTTGAAGCATCCCTAAAAATATGCCCCCTCCAAACTGCAAATCAGACATATGTAAGCTAAAAGGGCATAAAGTATAAAAAAAGGTTCAAACAAAAAATATAAGCATCATTGAAAATTTAAGAACAAAAATTTTGTTGTTCTTTGTGTAGGGTCGAGGCCTTGTCTATTAGTGTCATCCTTGTTTGGCTCATTTGGTGAAACTAGGTTCTGACATATGAAAAGGTTAAACTTAAGAATATACATACACACACATATACACATGCAATAACAATAAATAACAAAAGAGAGCATAAATTTGAAAGAGCAAGAAGGGCCGCCTGGGAGGCTCTGAAGGGAGAAAAAGAAATGCTGTAATTATAATCTCAAAAACAAAACAAAAAAACTTCTGGATTGTCAGATTGATTTCTTCTTTTTCTACTTTTTTGAGTCAGGGTTTCTCTGTGTATCCTTGGTTGTCTTGGACTTGCTTTGTGGACCAGGCTGGCCTTAACCACACAGAGACCCACCCGCCTCTGCCTCCTAGAGCGCTGGGATTAAAGAAGGTGTGCACCACCTTTTCTGGCTCAGAGTTCTTTAAAAAAACAGGTTTTTTGAAGAGTTACAGTATGTCGTCAAACTCTTGAAGTATAATGAAATTCAAATTAGAGCCATGTACAGTAGCTAGCCAATGGAATATCAAATACATATTCCTGACGTCAAGAATTGCAAAAGGACATGTTATAGAAGATGAAGGGAAAAACTAGAAAAAAGAGTCTCAGCAAAGGGAGAACCCAACTACTCAAGAATTGACTTTATAAAACCTCACATGAAGTTTTTAGGCCAGCCTGGTCTACAAAGCGAGTCTAGGGTAGCCAAGGCTACACAGAGAAACCCTGTCTCAAAAGACCTGACATGAGTAGAATAAGGATGTGCCACAGAATATATATGGAATGAGGGAAAAACCACTAGAGGAGATCATTAAGGAAAATAGTTACTTCACTAGAATAGGCTTGAGGTAGGGATTCCAATGGCTGGAAGTAATTTCTGTTGATTCAATCAAGGATGAAAGTGAACAGAGGTAACTGCAGACACAATGGCCCAAGAGGTCATCCTTTTGGTTACCTGTACACAGTAGTGTTAAACAGAGTCAAGAGACATCCAAAAGACTCAACCCGCCAATTTAAGTATATTTCAACCAGTAACTGCAAGATGAAGCAGCAAAAATGATGTATGTTTGATTGGAAAGAAAATGTCTTTCTGTTGCCTAGTTTCCATGACCACAAATCCATGTTTACCATTTTAGTTTTTGTGAACATAGAGTAAGTTATTAAGAAATCTGAGGCAAATATATATAATTTTGAGAAAATGAAATTTCTGTTTTCTTGAGAAAAATAAATATATCCTGGGTCTGAGGTTTCTAGTTTACACAGAGCACCTAGCCAGGCATGATTCACCTGCTCATACTGCTGCATTCCTAACACAGGTGTGGCCTATCACAGCTTGGTAGCCGATGAAATGAAAAAATGGACATATGCCCAAAGGGTTCCTTCCATGGCAAGGGTGGTGAGAAGACAGATGTCACCTGTCTGTCTAAAAGCTGGATCCAGAGACTCTAATTACCTCCCCATGTACGAGGGTGACAAACACTGAATAACAAAGCTGTTTATAGACACAGAAGAACAAAGTAAGAGAAACTGAAAATGCTTGGTGAAGCTTTGCTAATTATAGTAATTTAAATGAATTCCTTGCCCCCTTGAATACTATGTAGCACAAAAATGATTATGTGCTGTGAGCTGTATCCACTAAACTCACATGTGCAACCTATACAGCCAACAGTTAGCACTACTGTCACAAATTACAAGGAAATTTGCTTTCCTACTGAACACTGGAAGTCAGGAGTGGTGGTGCAGGCCTTTAACATGGCACTGGGGAAGCAGAGGCAGGTGGATCTCTGAGTTAAAGGCTAGCCAGGTCTACAGAGTTACTTCCAGGTCAGCTAAGGTTACGAGAAGAAAACAAGAAAGACTCAATAGTGAACTTCCTACTTTTGGGAAATAGAGCTGATGATGAGCCAGTATAGACTGAGTGACCAAAACTATAGTCTTCTCAACCGCACAGAACAGCAAGGGTTAGGCCTACTGATATGTGACAAATATTTTTATGAAAAGAAGGAATCTTAGAGCCATGGAAAATGGTCCCTAGTATATAACAGATAAACAGGTAATATACAATTTATTTTTACTTATATGTAAAATATCCTAAAGCAAAGGACAGTGGTAAGAAGAGGAAAAGTTTCAGGAAGAAATGTAATAGAACCAAGCCCAAGGAAAGAAATGTCCAGAAATGCTAGGTTCTCCTTTTCAGAACCCCAAGAAACAAAATAATTGCAAAGGAAAGGCAAGAAAAGAGGCTTAAAACTAAATAAATGTCCTAATCATAAAACAGGTCTAAATTCCCTAGTAAAGAATTTAAAACTTTAATTAAGTGAGAGATAGGGAGGTTACTGAAAAAAGTGTTTCCATGACAGCATTGTGGTATATACATGTATATAAATGTAGTCTGCAGGTAGGCAGAGGCAGAAAGATCTTGCCATGGAAGCCAGACTGGCCTAAACAATGTGACCCTGGATTATGCATTAAAGGAGGGTAAAAAATAAAACAAGAACAACAAAAAACCCCAAATAGTAATTCTTCACTAATCTACGTTTTCACGAGAAATTAATTCTTAAAAATCATTGCTATTGAGATTACATTTATATAAAGGGAAAAGAAAAAAGGGCCTGTGAGATGGCTCACTGGGTGATGAAGTGTCACCAAGCCTGATGGCCTGATCTTGACATCCAGGACCTCTATGAAGGAAGCAGAGAACTAATTCTGTAAAGCCAGTTTCTGAAAGTTGTCTTCTGACCTTCACACGCATACAATGTGACATGTGCACACTTCATACATCCATATCATATAGCAGTAACACTAAATACATATTAGGAGGTAAGCTTGGGAAACCCATTAAACATAAGGGATACGTAGGTACTCCTGGCCTGCAGGAACCTTGTATGTCTGAAGCAGGTGCTGTTTGAAAACTTCAGAGCTGAGGAAGGCTTATCTGTCCTACTTACTTTAATAATAATAATAATAATAATAATAATAATAAATAAAAATGGGGGTAGAGTAGGGATAGAGGGACATGGGAGGGGACAGGAGCCCCAAAAGGAGACCAACAAAGCTAAAGGACCTCAGCCCAAGGGACCCTACAGAGACTGATGCACCAACCGAGGACCATGCATGGAGACCTAGACCCCTGCTCAGATATGGCCGCTTGGCAGCTCAGTCTCCATCATGTATATCTCTGAGTGAGGGGAGAGGGGCTGCACCTCTGTCATGAACTCAGTTGCCTGGTAATGCGGCCTTGTCAGGCCATGGAGGAAGAAGATGAATAGAAAGGAAGAGGGAGAAAGGTTAGGACTGGGAGGAGTTGAGGGAGGGGGCTTCAATTGGGATATATAATGAATAAATTGTGAAGAAAAAAATAAAAATTAAAAAAAAAAAAGTTAAAAAGAGATGGCTCAATGGCTGTGCCTGGAGAGGACCTGGATTTGATTGCATGTCACCACCATCCAGTGCTAGGGACCAGATACCCTGTCGTAGTTTCCACAAGCCTCAGGCACACACATACAGATACACATGCAGACAAAATACCCATACACATGAAAGAAAAAGAAAAACTCACAATGTTTAGAGAGAACAGGAGTTAAGATTGTACACTGGTCTTCCAGAGGGTCCTAATTCAATTCCAGCACCCACATCAGGTGGCTCACAACTACCAGTGGCCTCCATGGGGCATGAAACACATATGCGGCATACACATGATTAAAAATCAAAAGCAAACACAGAAGATCACTTCAACTGCATGGTAGATAACAGCATAGTAAAACAGGAAGGATTCACAGGGGGATACCTCAGACTGGCTGGTACCTATCAGATGAGTGAAAGAGCTATTACAGACTTGGTACCAGAAAAGGCAGGGAAAACCAAAGACCAAGAAATCAAAGTTCAGCAAAGGTTACAAGTCTGAAGACTAAGAAAGCAGGGAAGCTCTTATAGCCTCTAATCTATTAGCTATTCCTGATGTGATAGTCCCAAGTGATATCCCTACACTTCTGGGTGTGGTGGAGCACATTTTTAACCTCAATATGCACAGGCAGGTGGGTCACAGTGATACCCTGTCTCAAAACAACACAAACAAGCAAAATTCCATACAGTTTGGAGACAAGGAGCTGAGGTCCTAGTAATCCAACCTGGCAGAAGACAGGAAGGACTGGAAAGGGTTTTATCCCTTTCCAATGAAGGGATAAAACCAGAAAAAAAAAGAGAAGCAACAAATCATATCTACATTAGCACTTACTTTTATGTAAGACCATGCCTCAAACCTCACAAGAAAGCTAGGCATGGTGGTACACACCTTTTATCCCAGAACAGGGAGATGGAGGTAGGCCGGGGTAAAATGTATGAGAGAAAACATATATAGATTAAAAAGCATCTGTGAAAAACATGTGCGATGGCGCATGCCTGTAGTTCTGGCATTCAGGGAGGCAGAAGCAGGCAGGTTTCTTTGAGTTTGAGTCTAGCTTGGTCTACAAATCGAGTCCATGACACACAAGGCTACACAGAGAAACCCTGTCTCAAGAAGAAAAACAGACAAAACACACTCACTGTGGCCTGCAAAGACCCCTGCGGAAGACTCCTTCAGAGGAGCAGAAACTCCAAACAGTGGTTCTATGGCTTAAAATGGTTTACCTGGGAATCTGCTCTGAATCATGCCTTACAGCTTAAAAACTTGAGTAAGTATGCAGAGTAGCAGAGTGTTTTAAAGGACCATGAAAGAACATCTGTACCAATGTGTGACAAAATGCCCAAGATATATGATTAGGAATGTTCTGGAAACTAGTGGTTCTTGAAATCTGGTAAATTATAATGGAAGGAAACCACACAGGAAGAATAGATGAAATTTTAAAACAAATTTCATATATTCATCTTTAGAATGCTTTAAAATGCTAAATTAACACAAAGCGTGGGAAAATAACATTTTCCTGTCTTCTTAAATATGCAGTGCAGCCGATACTATGTTATAAATAGAAGAAACCACCCCCAGAAAAGCTGGCAAATTCAAGAAGAAAAAGCTATTTTAAGTTTTCTCTTTCTTTTTAATCTGTAATATAAGGATGAAGTATTTATACAAAGAAGCAGACTCTGTCTTAAAAATCATAAATATTTCAATCGTAAATTCAATGGTAAAAATTATTGGAACAATGGTCCAGACAAGTTCGGCAGACAAATTAAAAATGAAAAGATAAATGAGACCCTGAAGGGGGAAGAAAAAATGTCTTCAACTGGTGGCCTTCACAAAGCTAACGGCAACAATGAATGAAAGGAAACTGTCACCCTTTAGGACCGGATCTACTCTCAACACCCTCCTTCTGCTTAGGGATTTCTTAACCTAGAAATGCCATTCAAGCAAACAGCCATCTCCTGCCGGGAGGGAGGTTCTTTATACTCAATGTTCCCAATTAACTAAAAACAATATGACCATTCATGGCTTAGGAGAGCACGGGAAAGGGGCTGTTGGGGCAAACCTTGGCTTTGGTAGCAGCTGAGGCCAGAGCAGCTGCTGCGGCTGTGGCAACATTTCCTTCAGAAATCTCGTGTTCCACTTTCTTCTTCCCGGTATCGCTTTCTCTTTCTTTACACGTATCAGTGAGTTCTTTGTTCTCTTCGTTTTCCTTTTCTTCTGAAAATATTTTTTAAAAAGCTTTATTATGCGTGCACTTTCCTCAATAACCCATCTTACCCACTTTTGCTATATGATGTTATGAAGCCTTCAATGCCGTTTTCTACCTTTTAAAAATACTTTCTTTGAATCACCCCCTGTATTTGAGTATGCATAGTCTAAAATATTGGAGAGAGTTTTGAAGTTCTACACTTCGTCTTTGTGTCAATTTTCTCAACTATGTGTACAGTTCCATTGGTTATAAAGGTAAGCTCAGGGAAACAGAGCCTAAAGCTCACATATTAGTTCAATAAGCAGCGTAATGATCTAAGGACAACCCTGAGTCTGGATTAAATCAGACATGGAGAAGAGTACTCCACAAGTCTGAGACAGGCAGGCTGGGCTGTTACTGCCAGAGACAGAATAAAGTGGCAGAAATAGGGCAGAGAGACAGAGTGACATCTCTCCAAAAGAACGAGGAAGATATAAATTGGAAGTAATAGGAGGCAGACACAGATATACACAGACCAAACAACAACGAAATTTAAATATTGGTGAACAATTTGCTTAAAGTCTATTGAAAACAAAGAGGAAAAAAGCAGTGCCAGAATAAGCACTGGTATCTAACTTACATAAAACATAAGGGCCAAGCACGGTGTTACAAAGCCTTGAATCTTAGCACTCTGGAGGCCTGTAAAGTCAGCTCATTTAGAGGCTGAGACTAGAGAACAGTAAGTACAAAGACTGCCAAGATCATAGAGTCAATTTAGGGCTAGCCTGGGCAACTTAGTAAGATTCAGCCTCAAAAATGTAAAACCAATCACCAAACAGGACCATGCAGATGGCCCGGTGGCACAGTATGAAATACCCTAGGCTCAATTATCGCCCCACACCCTGGATCCAAAGAAATGACAAAATCCAGTATACAGGCAAAAGTCTAAAATCCTACTACTTAAAAGGAGAAAGGAGCAGGAAGTTAAGGTGTGGAAAACCAGTATCAGCTATGTAGCAAGTTTCAGGCTGGCTTAGGCTGCTTCAGCTACTGTCTTAAGACAACAACAAAGGCAGGAGATTAGAGCAAAGTGGTTAAGAGCACTCCTGGCTCCTTTTCCCAGAGAACGCAGCTCAAATCTCAGCACCCGACTGTCAGCTTACACTTGTCTAAGAACTCCAGTTCCAAGGTTCCAACCCCCACTTCTGACCTATATGGGAAATGCACACAGTAGCACACAGTCATGCAAACCCATGGTACCAGACATGCACACAGACAAGACACCCATGCACAGAAAACAGAAGTCCATCTCAAAGCCTTAAAACACATAAGAAGCCGAGGCAGGCAGTTCTCTGTGAGTTCTAGGCCAGCTGGGATACTTAGAGAGAGCCTGTCAAGCAAATACAAACAAACAATCCCCAACACCACTAACAATAAAAACACATTGTAAAAAGAAAAAAATAGTACAACTTTTTTTTGGAGACAGGTTTCTTTACATGTAGTTTTGGTTGATGTTTTTAAAGAGTGAAAGAACATTTCCACAACATTGAGCAGAACTTCTCCAGTGCCTTGTAAAGTTACAGGATTAACATAGTCTAAGAAGCCCTGGTCCAAGTCACCTGGCTTGACATCCTCACTAACTTCACTATCTTGTTCCTTCTCACTGTTTTTTTCATTTTCTCCATCTTGGGTTTTATCACCTTCATCCGATTCATTTTCCACTTTGTTTTCTGCCTGAAAGTAGTACAAAACAAGAGAAGAGGGAGTAAGTAAAACAGTCATTTTAGAAGTGAAAATATCTTAAGCTAACAAAAGGTTTCACTCTTTGGCAAGATATAGACTATATTTCAAGGGCCAGGTAAGGAAGGCCTAGAAAAGAGGTTAATTTTGATATACATACTTTAAACCAGTTAGAAACCTGTGTGTTCATGAGATAAAACATTTCAAGCACATAGTGACTGGTGCTTCTGCAACCTCTGCTACAAAAAAAGTTTAAAATGCCCAAAGAAATGTCAGAGTACCTAAACATTTTTATTTATTGAGTAAAAAAATCTAAAAACCACACACAAACCCACACAGTTGACTTTCTATTTCCCCCCTCATTTTCATATATATATATATATATATATATATATATATATATATATATATATATGCGTATGTGTGCAAGCAGATTTGTGGGTACACATGCACTAAGGCCCGGGGATGATATTGGTAATTAGCACCCAAACGCACTTCCACCTTATTCTATGAGGCAAGGTCTCTTGAAGGCATCTTGCTATGGCTAAAATTAGAGGCAGGCCATCATGGACACTGGGAGTTTATGGGGGTTGTGGTGATTCAAGTGAAAAGTGTTGAACAACTAACTAAGTGATCTCTCCAGCCCTCAACTAGTTGTTTTAAAGGGCTGAAAGCATTTGAACAGTGATCTGCTTTGGTAACTGAAAACCAATTCAGCAGTTCAACATCTGGGAATTTTGAAATTTTTGTGACCTTGGACAGACTACAGAACTCAGTCTATAAAAGAGTCAGTTACTGACTTGGTGAGTCTGGAGAGATGGCTCAACAGACAAAGGCACTAGCTATTCTTCTGAAGAATTCTAGGATTAATTCCTAGAATTCATATGGCAGCTCACAAGCACCTGTAAGTCTGTACCAGGCATGCAAGTGGTGCAGACATACACGTAAGCAAAACACAGCTACACATCACCTAAAAATAAATGAAAGCAGGCTGCGAAAGCTCAGCACTGAGAAGAGAGATGCAGGTGAGGAATCTGTGAGTTCAAGAAAGACAGGTCTACACAGTGTGTTCAAGTCAGCCAGAGCTTCACACTGAGGCCGTGTCTCAGCAAAAACCCACAAACGACCTAAAACAAAATAACTAAATGAAATCACAACTGTAGAACTATTGTGTGATACCTGGAAGACTGCAGGAATTTAATTACTGTATCAACTGTAGCCTCTCCTATATTTCACACTAGTACACTGTAATCAAGGTCTTAAATCTCCACTCCTGTATATTCACTCAATATTGACTGAGTGTCCATTACATTTTGTAACTGAAAACATACATACCAAAGCTGTCCTTGACAGGCTGTATTCAGTCCAACTCGGCTGAGCCTTTACCATCTCTTATGAACAGAGACTGGGGCAGTAATACAGGGACACTTAGATGACATTCAAAAGTTTTGATTCCTAACCCTCCATTTCAGTCTTTACAGTTCTTTTTGGCTCTTTAAAACCTCCCTCAAATATCAGCTTCTTGTAAATTGTTTACTAAATATTCTTCTGTTGGAAGCTAACTCTCCTAGGAAATCATTTATTATTCTGAAATTCTCCTCTGGGACAAGTTTAAGACCCAGGTCTTACAATTCAATAGTCACAATAACTAACTTTTTTTTTTTTTTTTTTGTAAGAACCAACTTTTTTATTTATACAAAACTGTGCCTGAAGAGGACACCCAGGTGGACAAGGTGTGGATGAAACTGTAGCACAGAACCAATGGACTCACCTACAAGACTGTAACTAGTAACACAATTCACGGATAATCTCCCTGAAGGTGATTTGACATATCACAACATCTGAAAACCAGTATGCTGAGAAGGCTCTGTATGGGTTTTCTTTTCTTTTTTTTTTTAATTTATTCTTTTTAAGATTTATTTACTATTTATACAGCATTCTGCCTGCATGTGTTCCTGTATACTAGATCTCACTATAGATGGTTGTGAGCTACCATGTGGGTGCTGGGAATTGAATTCAGGAAGAACAGCCAGGGCTCTTAACCTCTGAGCCATCTCTCCAGCCCCCTGTATGGTTTTTCTGTAAGGCGACATCTAAATAGCCTTTACCTTTTCAGGCTGCTGACCATCAGGATCTGTTTCCATCTTTTCTTCTTCAGTTCCTTCTATAAGTAAACGAATAACAAAAAAATACAGAAATAGGTAAAAATCAGTGTATATATTTCTATGTGGTGTAATTATCAGTAACCTGTAAGCAAAAGAAGTCAGACATACATAGCACATACTTTATGAGAAAGTAAAAAGACTATGAGAGTAAAACTGTCAAAATAAATACTGTCAAACAGGGCAGTTTAAGTAAGAAAAGAAGAGTTAGATAATATAGCAGGGTCAAGGAAAAAATCGAATGATGTTTCTTGATCTAGGGATGTTGATGGGAATGAGTTTTACTTGAGGAATCGCTCTATGCTCTGTTGTGGGATATTTGATCCCACCATGAACCCTGAGACTATGAACTGGAAAAACCTGTTTCTTGTTGTGGTATGGCTCAGCCCTACCAAATAACTTAAGAGCTTTCTGTAAACAAGAGCGAAATAAAGCCAACCATAGGTCAAGAGGTGGAGCAAGCAACCAGTTAACAGAGTGAGCATAAATAAATCAAAGTAGGACCACTGAGTTGAAGGGAACTTAAGACATTGCAGAGAAGGAAAAAGGGCTTTTTTTTTTTTCTTTTGAGACTGTAGCTGAGTAGGAAGGTCAGCTGGGTGCTTCCTCTGCTTCTCTGAGCTAGTGGGCTTTTACCACAGAATCTGGTTCCCAAATCCTTTTTGGTAAAATTGAACATTTGATATTTGTTTAAAAAACAATGCTCATGTAAATTTTCTGTACATAATAATAAAAAGTTTTTGGAAATGTTAAATATAATTCATTTTATCTAACAGATATTTAATGACGGCATATTTCAATCAGGCACTGCAGAAACACTTCTTAGTCCTATATCTGCTGAAACCACAAGAGGCCTAACTCTGGCTAGAGGATTTAAACACTTTAAAAGGCATAGTAAGAAAAAAAAAAAAAGCAGTGCTCAAATCTACTGATTAGGAAAACTGTTGTCTAGTTTTTTAATATAAGTCTACCAATCTCCTTGTTTCGAGAGTAATGGCTGAAGAGCAGCTACTGACTAACACCTTCCCAAAGGCACAAGCATACAGTGACAGAAGTAGCACCAGATCACGCAAACTCTAGGACCAAGACTGCCACTCTTCATGGATTCTTGGCTTTCACTCTTTTATGGATCAAACAAGAAACAGGAAAACCTGTGCACATAAGTGCGTCAGAGATGAGGGAAGACCACAGGAAGTGAAATTCCATATTTGCTAATCAGCAGGGACTTTAATACCAGGTAGTGCTAAATGACAGGCTGATCACTCCAAATAAAAACGGACATGGAAGTTTTGGGGAAGCTACACTGCAGTTAAAAACTGTATTAGAGCCAGGCGGTGATGGCACCCGCCTTTAATCCCAGCTCTTAGGCAGGCAGATCTCTGTGAGTTCGAGAATAGCCTAGTCTACAAAGGCAGTGTAGGACAGATAGGGCTACAGAGAAAAACCCTGCCTTGCCAAAGCTAAAAAGCCAAAGCCAAGCCAAACCGGATTCCAACACTGTGAATCATGTAAGAGTGTACACTGATGCTTTAAGTCAAAAAAAAAAAAAAAAAAAAAAAAAAAAAGGCAATGATCCAAACTGTCCATTTCAAATAACGGTAGCTAAACTGGATTGCAATCACATAGAACACATTTTACAGGAGTGAATTAAACACCTAGTTGGATCCTAGAACCACATGGATAAATCTGAAAACAAAATACTGAGTGGAAAAAAAAAGTGATCTCAAAGTCAAAATATTCCATATTTTACAGAGACTAAAACCTAGCAAAATTATACTTAACATATGTTGTTTAACTACATCTATGTTTGTGATAAAAGTCATTTTAAAAGTATATAGAACTCTTATTTAAAATACAGGATTCTTATTCTAGGAGTGGGAAGGTGAGAAGCAAAGGGAGGAGGAGAATTCTCAGTAATGTTCTGATTTTTTAGTAGATTTTAAAATGTAGTTGCTGGGTGAGGGTGCTGGCCCACCCCTTCAACCTCAGCACTCTGGAGGCAGAGATGGCGACAGACAGGTGGATCTGTAAATTCAAGGGCAGGCTGGTCCAAATAATGAGACCCTGTCTCAAAACATATGAATACATATTAAATTGATAAGATCTGAGAAGAAATGCAAACAACAACAACAACAAAAAGTAAGTTTAAAAATGAATCCCAAACCCCATGGGGTTTACACCATCATAAAAAATGTAATATATGTTTTTGCTTTAGAAAAACTACCCACAATTATATATTCTATTTCCACATTCTAAAAGTAAAGTAATATACACTCACATTCTCTATCGTAAGGCTAGGCAAAAAAATTTGACACCAACTTTTAAAAATTGGCTATGATTCTAAGATAAAAAGCGATGTAAATTAATATCTATTTATATGATGATGGTCCAATTAAAGAAGTACTGAAAGTAGGAAAACCAAGAAATACTGTTTATGCTCTCAGGAGATGTCTAAAAATAGTTTTATTATATGCTGTGTATTTCTCAAAACACAGCTTCTGTTTGGTTTGAGTTCTGATACGAATTATCACCCCCCCCCATCTACCTATCTTCTACCTACCTTACATCCATCCCATCCATCCATCCCATCCATCCCATCCATCCATCCATCCATCCATCCATCCATCCATCCATCCATCCATCCAATCTTTCTGAGGCAGAGTCTCTACACAGGCCTGGCTGTCCTGGAACTCAGTATGCAAACCATGCTGGCCTCAAACTCAGAGATCCCCCTGGCTCTGCTGGGGTTAAAGGTATGCATCACCACATCCAAGCAGCAAGTGTTCAATTTATTTACTTTCATTTCATGTATATGGATGTTTTGCCTGTACACATGTCTGTGAATCATATATAGAGTGAAGTGACCCTGGAGTAGGGAAGAGGGCATCATAACCCTTGCAACCGAATTACAGACAGCTGGAGTCTCCATGTGAGTGTGGAGAATCATACCCTGGTCCTCTGAAAGACAAGCTTAAACACTACCATCTCTCTAAGCCCTGAAACTGTCAATATTAGAGAGAATGCACTCTCATTTTCGTTACCATTTTGATGGTGTTGAGAGACCAGAAGGCTGAAAGTCCTTCGTCTCACCTGGTAGAATGACCCACATACATTAGAGTTAAAAAAAATAATTAGAATGTATTTTACTTTAATTTTTGGAACGGGGTCTCACAATACAGACCAAGATGGCCTGGAATTCAGAGATCCTCCTCAGCCTCCTAAGTGCTAGGATCAGTTATCAAGCCTTGCAAGAACGAATTTTTAAAATTTAACTTAAACAAGACGGCACATGGTATAAACTGGGAGGCAGATGCCAAAGTCATTCTAAAAATAATGTGGTTAGCAAAATCAGGATGAGAAGAGATTAGAAATCACTTTCTAAAGGGCTGAAGGAACTGGATTGGAAAGACTCAAATGCTTACGAACAGCTGTCTTATAGGGCTGGAGAGATGGCTTAAAGGTTAAGAGCACTGTCTGTTCTTCCAGAGATCCTGAGTTCAATTCCCAGCAACCACATGGTGGCTCACAACCATCTACAATGTTATTTGATGACCTCTTCTGACATGGAGATGTATGCGCAGATAGAGCACTCATATACATAAAGATAAACAACAAATAAACATTAAAAAATGTGTTCTATGCTTATCAGCTAGGAGCCCTCTGTCAGCTCTATTCTTATCTACTAGGAACCCTCTCAACTTCTGTGCTTCATTTGTAAACTGCTTATAGTTATTTTGTAAAGGAACGGAACCATGCTGCTTCTAGTGTGATGAGTCCCCATGGCTACAAGATAAAAAGCACCAAACCCAAACCCATGCTCATCTTCAGAGCCAAATGTGCCCACACACTTTTCCTAGAATACTAAGTATTTGCTCTGGAACATGCCATCCTAATTCATTCAGCTTTAAAAGGTCACCTTTTCTACAAAGGCTTCCTTAGCTGACCGGCTCTACTTGCCTCTAGTTACATCTCTGTTTCTCTATGTACTTCCCACGCCCAAACGGAGTACTCTTCAAGGTACAGCTTATTTAATTCAAGTATTCAAGACTGTGGCCCAGAAACCCTGGGGGTCTCCAAAAACAAAGGCAGTGTTCATGAAACTAAACTGTCGCATTTCCTCGTTTGTCCTTCTCATATCCGAGGATCGGAGCTTTTTAGAGCAACATCAGGTAGGAGGACTTCTGAGCAGACAGCTGAAGCAACATGCTCTTATGATGCTTTTAGATTGAGACTTTAACTTTAAAATGGTACTGCAGAGGAAGCCCATAGCCTCACTCATGCTAGGCAGGTGGGATAGCTTAGCCTCAGAGTTGTGGCTTCTAAAACAGTAAGGATGGTGTATATCACACCAACAGAAGCATTTGGCATCTTGCTATCTTTCAAGACTATAATATAACTAAGACCTAAGAACTAAGACCAAAAGGTTTGAGACCTGCCAGTGCAATAAATTCAGTTTTGTCAGGAAGGAGAGGATTGGGTACACTGCATGACAACTCTGTCCCAGGAGACTGCCAATGTCGTGCAAGTGCAGTACACACCAGTAAAAAAAGTCACACGTGTCATAGCCCTGTCATTACTTTATGTTCTAACTGCATCTACCATTGTGGGCCACTCTCTTCATAGCTAAGACCTCTGTACACTGTGGCTACCAGATTTATTTCCCACTCTCTAAATAACCTCCTTGCTGTTTCTGTGCCTTTATTCTTACTGTTCAACAGAATAGAATACTTGCGTAAACCTGATCGTGGACACTGAATGTTCACAACATTCCGCTCCACCCTGCTTCCCTTGGGAACCTTTCAACTAAAATTACATCTACCCTTGCACTACTTGTCACAGCAATACTTCCTATGTATTACAGTGCTCCTTCAAGAATTAATTCTGTGCTTTTGTTTTATCTATGCATCCTCCAATGCTGGAATGAATTTTTCAACTATGTGCAAACTGAACAAGAAAGGCAGCCTCAGTTATTTGACAGTCCTATATGCCATCTTATTTGACATGAACACTTCTTAAAAAGCTACATATAGTATCTCAGAACTCTGAAATCCTGTGCTTGCAAAATGGTTGTTAAAAAATGATTATTTTCTATTTGGAAGTAGAACAAAAAAAAAAAAAAAAAAAGCATAAGAAATGTAAGGGTCTATGACTGAGCTGACAAACAAAGGAATCAACACAGAACGTGTGCTCAGAACATTATTCAGCAGAGCAGAGAATGAAGTGCTGAACTGACAGATCCTCCATGTAATATCCTTGAGAACACCATGCTAAGCAAAAGAAGACAGACGTAAAGGCTGCGTGTCTGCTGTATGTGAACCGCTGAAAAATTGCAGAGACAAACTACTAGGCCTGAGAAGAATGGGGGTGACTCTTTAAGTAGTTTTTAAAGTGTGGTATAGTAAATACTAGTAATTACCACTTAGAAAACCGAGACAAGAAGACCATGTTAGTGTAGGCCATATAATGAGACCTTGCCTGAAAGAAAGAGAACAAAGTCCTCAGAAGGAATTCTCATGAAAGAAGTGACAGAATTAAGTAATGAAGACAAATGTGAACATATTTAAAAATGATGAATTACAAGCTAAGTGGATAAAAGAGATCTTATGTAAGTCTTTAAAAAAAAGACTAATTTACAGTGATTTAGTACACATAACAAGACATAGTCCTTTGACATTCTTACTACTTCACAGGCTTAAATTAGATCTCCCATAGCCACAGTACTTCAACACTGTGATGTCAGTTATCAGGCTTATGTGCAGTTCTTGCTTCTTCAGTGCCCCTTGTTCCCCTCACAAGCACTAATGCACTAAACTTGAGGCACGTTTATACGGACTGTTTTGATTGCTTAAGTGCAAGTCAACTAACTCTATTAACCTGCACACTGGCAGGAACTGTAAACATCTAGTTACCAAGTGACTCACCGAGCTTCTCTGGCTCATCAGGGCCAGTGCCTGCAATACAGCTGCTCTCCAAGCCATAGGTGGGATCCACTTTCCCAGAGGCTCTTGCAGCTTCTTGAACTTTCTTGACATGTGCTTCAACCAATTCTAGGGGTACTTCTTCACGGACCCGAGAAAACTCCTCTGATTCAAGATCAAAAAGAGAATAACATCTTCATTTTGCATAGAATTTGCCCCATGTGACCTAGACTATCTGGCATAATAGCATCAGTTTGGTTGCAATGAGCTCTTTGGGAAAAGGGTAAAATGAAACAATCCAATCACTACTCCAGGTTTTTATCCTAATCATAGTGCCTTATTAAATATGCTTTAAAAATATTTTTAAAGATCTATTAGAAACAACTAAAACCGAAGTCTTAATTATCTCTCTGCTGGCAAGACTGGTAATTGTAAAATCACCAGATATCAAACGACCTTAAAGCTATAAACCCTGTAACATAAAAGATGTCTGCATAATATTAATATACAGCAAAAATATTAAGTAGCTTCTGTTCCCCATTTCCTAATGCCACAAAACACTTCGTTTCCTTTATACATGTGAGTGAAACAAATGTGTGTGTTCATGTATGTAGTTTTGAAACGAGATCTCCTATAGTCCAAGCTGCACCTCAAACTCGATTCTTTGGCTTCTTCCTCCCTGAAGCTGGAATTTCATAGGTGTATGCCAACACATCTAGCCGCTCCCCTAATTCAAAACAAATATTCTATGGGCCAGAAAGGTAGCTCAGCAGGAAAATGGACTGTGGCTAGACTGACAATTTAATTCATGACACACACATGGTAGGAAGAAACCAACCCTCTTACTGCTGGTCTTCTGACCTTCATAAGTATATCGCGGTAAGTGACTGCATATACCCACACACAGAAGAGACTTTAAAAAGTGAAAAAAAATTAAACAAATGCTCGTACAAGCTATATTTTCATACTTTAAAGGGCTATTCATAATTTTTATAGAGCACATTATCTTTGGGGGTTTTGGTGACTTACAGAAAAGAAATAAGTATAATACAGCTATATATATACTTTAAAACATTCGTGAGACAGGAGTGTGTGCTTGTGTGTGTCAGCATACTTGCTCATTCTAGTGGGCATGTGTGCAGACCAGAGGTTGACATCAGCACAGATTTTCTCTATCATATTTCCTACATTCTTATTCTGAGATACTGTCTCTCACAAGATGATCAGTGAGACCATCTATCTCTAGTTCCCAGCGTAAATACTACAGGCACAAACTGGAAACACCTAGCTTTTATGCAAGCTTTGGAGAACCAAACTCAGGTCCTCATGCTTGCGTAGGAGGCACGTTACACATTTGAACCAAACCTCGAGCTCAGGGTTAATAGTTAAATGTGTGGTCACGGTAGCTTCCACAGAAGTACATACCCAGAGCTGCTTTTGCTGCAGCAGATGCTACACGAGGATCAACCACAGACGCTAAAAAGGCAACAGTACTCATCACAGGGTTTCCTGACTGGCTGAAAGGGACAGGCTGGTAAGCTAGCGGCCCAAGGGAAGCATCTGAATTTTCGAGGTATGGGTCCTCAATGGGAAGTCTCAAAAAGTGGAGGATGCATTCATCTTGAGTACGACTTCCAACATGTTCTGAGACTTTATTCCAATCATCCTTGTACATCTCCAGGGCCTAAATGAAGACATAAACGAAAAGACCATTGATAGCAAATAACAAAGAAGCAATACGGAAAGAAAAACAAACCGGGATGTATTTTTTTCTTTCTGCATGACAGGGTCTCATTATGTGATACAGGCTTGGTTAAAACTTCCTGTTTTCCTGGTTCAGACTCAAGAACGCTCTGATAAGAGGCATGAAAAACCTCCTGGCTTGCTAAGATTCTGTAGATAATATTTCTAGAAAATTTTGGGTAGAAATCTAGATTGTTGCACATGCCTTTAAACCTCAGTGCCCAGTAAACTAAGGCAGACGTTTTAAAGATAACCACACTAGGAAAGAGCCTATTTAAAAATAATAACATAAATGATTTTTTGTACATTAAGATAAAAAGGTAATCTGACAGTTTTCCTTATATTAAGCTGTTAATTAGAAAACAAAAATAAATAAAAAACATGCACATTGTAAAACTGTAACTGGACCAATACTGTTTATATAAAAACTTACAAAGAAACAATGGGATGGGGGTTGAGCATTACCACTAAATATCAAATGATGGGCTAAAACTACAATAGAAAACAAAACAACACTGTATTTCTCTAATGGCAACAATTTTAAATTGGAAAAATATTTGGAACAGTATTAAAATGAAATAAAAATTCAATAATTGTATGTAGGATTAACACGATATAAAGAAAAAGTGAGAGAACTCCAAGATCTAAATAAATGAAGAGACAGTTGTTTCATTAGATACCATTCTTTGATCAATTCTTTCCATGCTGAAGCAAGCTTATCAAGAACCATGAGCAGGGTAGGCAGATGAAGACTGATCAGGTAGCAGCCCACATTACCAACTCCACAGTTGTCCTGACTTTCAAATAGGCTCAGACATCAGGTACACACATACAAACACAGTAAGGTCAACAAGACAATACATTTTAAATTTAATTTGAGACTAATGGTAAGATTTTTATCATCAGACTAATAGTCTAAGTCATGAAATTTATAAATATTGGTAAAAATCCAGGAAACTCTCAAAAGTAACAGAAAAATGAATCTACAGGTTAACAACAAAATATATACTAAGAAAGTAAGAAATAAAAGGAAAAAAACAATGTAGACAACCTTTTAGGACTCACTGAAGTTGGTTGCATCTGGGAATAAAGGCAGGACCTTGTGTGTAAAGGCTGGAGAAAACATTTAATTCAAAACAATTCTCTCTTCTACCTTCAATGATTTCACATTTCATCACTATCTTTCAGGATAAGGTCAAACATAATCAAAGCAACCTCACTTCCTCCTCCTCGGGCAGAAGGGCTAAGCAGTCAGACACAGGTGCATTTAACTCTGTACTGTAATACCATGAATTAGAACCAGCTCACCCTGTGTACCCATGCTGTTCCAAATGTATCGAAATCTGCACAGCAACCCTTCTGGATGTACCTTATGCTCCACAATTCTACATGCATTTTTGGTCCTATCTATGTCACTTGGGATCTCTTTAATGCAAACGAAATGTTCCAATTATCTTTATCTGTAGTATCTGTCATAGTGCTGAATCAAAGTGTCAACTGGAATTTATAAACTACAAGAACCTGGATGCACCCAGAAAAATGAAAATGGCTTTCCTGTAATACTCCAGTAAAACAACAGTATGTCTAGAGATACATTATTTTTTTATACCACTAGAACTTAACACCACATGCTACACCCTAGTCATGGTTTAAATAGGAATGGAACCCATAGACTCCTGGTCCAATGGGAGGTGCAGCCTTGTGGAAGTAGCTATGGCCTTGTTAGAGGAACCATGTCCCTGTGAAGAGGGGGTTTGAGGTATCATATGCTCAAGCTAGGCCTACTGGGGCAGTCTTGTCCAGCTGCCTGTGAATGTGAAACTCATAGCTTCTTCTCCAGCACCATGTCTGCCTATATGCCATGCTTCCTGAAGTAACAAGAATGGGCTAAACCCTCTGAAACTGTAGGTCAGTTCCAGCAAAATACTTTCCTTATAAAAGTTGCCATGGTCATGGTGTCTCTTGTCATAGAAACTCTAAGACAGGAGGCTCTCATTTCTGTACCCAACATTCACATTTGGAAAAATATCCCTAAAGAGAAGTTTCAAAAAGGAAGACCTACTCACACAGTACATATCAAAATCTAACAAAAAAAATATTGCCTGAGTTTTTTATAATTTTGATGTTTCTAAAGAAGCTTTTCCATTTTGACTACATACAGTAACTTAAAAAGCAAAAACAAAACAAAACAAAAAACCTAGGGGCTGGGGAGATGGCTCAGCGGTTAAGAGCACCGGCTACTCTTCCAGAGGTCCTGAGTTCAATTCCCTGCAACCACATGGTGGTTCACACCATCTATCATGAGATCTGGTGCCCTCTTCTGGTGTGCAGGTGTACATGCAAATAGAATACTGTATAAATAAATAAATAAATAATAAATAAATAAATCTATCTTTTGAAAAGTTTTTAAAAACACTGATATACATCAAATACAAATAAAAAACCAACAAAATCAAAGATACTATCTTCTATTTCTATAAGAGATTCACTACAAACTATATTCTTTTCTTTCCTATATACCATATTCTACCGTTGGTTATTTTAAATCTTGAAATTATGCTTCCATTATTTCTTTAAAAAATGATAAAGAGAACATAAGAGCATTAACTTCACCTAGGAAAATGCTTTAATAAAGGACCCTAACTAAGCTCATTTAAAAGTAAAAGTGAGGCTGGGTGTGGCAGAACACGGCTTTGATCCCAGTACCAGGAGTCAGAGACACAGAAATCTCTTACTTTGAGGCCAGTCTATAGTGAGTTTCTGGACAGCCAGGTATATATAACGAGAGCCGGTCCCAAAACCAACCAATGAACCAAAGAGCGGGCAGTCTCAAAGATAGCCAGAAATATTTTTAGAAATATACCCCTATAAACAACAAGATTTCTCTACTAAGGACAAGTCTCCACTTTAGATTTACTGTTCTGAAGCTTATCTTGAGGATGGTGATGCACACACAGGTGTGTGAACAGGTGTGTGAACAGGTGTGCCTACACTATGCATGTGCATAGCGACCAGAGATCAATGTCAGCTCATCCTCCAAGGTTGGTCTCCACCTGACTTTTGGATATAGGGCCTCTCTCTGCAGCTGGAACTCACTGACTGGCTAGAAGGCCTGGCCATCAATTGCAATGAGAAAGCCTGTCATCTGGCTCAGCTGGTTAAAGAATCTGAAGCCAACAGTGTGCCTGTGAGTTCAATCCTTGGAAACCAAATAAGGGGAAAGAAAGAACTGCCTCCCATGAAGTGTTATGGCCCTCCCACGGAAGCAAGCAAACAAGCAAGCAAACAATGGCCCTAGTTATCTCATTTTTTTTTCTCCTGGTGCTGGGATTATTGATGAACATCACGACCAGGCCTTCTATTCAAAATTCTCTTGACTGATGGTCTAAATCACAGAAATTAATTTTCTAACAGCTCTGAAGGCTGGGAGTACAAGACTCCTACTGTGTACACCAAAAGCCCAGGTGCAAAAATGGAAGGACAAACAGAAACTTGCTTTGGTTTCTGAGGCAAAGCATCCTATGTAGCCTAGGCAGTCCAGCCTCTTGAACGGTGGGATTACAGGAGTGCAGCACCATCATTAGCCGTGTGCGCGCGCGCACGCATGTTGTTTTTTCTTTAAAGGTTTTAAAGACAGAATTGTCCTACCTAACCATGGAAGGCAAAGAACATGCAATCCTTAGGCACCAGTCTTCAAATGGTAGGAATAAAGGGTATATATCTGGAAACCCAATTTTTAAGCTAGTGATTGCTCTAAACAAACTGCATTTATAGATGGTGGTAAAGGTAAACACTCTTGCTAAGCCTTATTTCTTCTCAGATAAGGAATCAACATAAATATGTTAATATTCCCTGTTTCAAAAAAGCCAAAAAAGAAAAAGGCAACCCCAGCAGCAAAGAAAACGTACTATTGTCTAAAAACCCAGCAGTTATCCTGAGTATGTTAAGAGTAAACAGTGGATCAGGAACTCTTACCTCACTCTGTACTGTAAATCCACTAATCTGATGTTTTGGTTGTGAGCCTAGCTTTTAATGCGTGAGCCATTTCTCCAGCCCTATTCACTAATCTTAGAGGAAGATATGAAGGGAAATTAGAACATCAGTGTGCAAACTGTTGCTGTTTCCAGCTGCAGTACAATTAAGTTTCTCCTCATGGCATAAAGATTCCAAATAGCACTAGAAAAAAAAGCTGCATTCACTAGTGAGTACTGAGGACACATTCTTGTTTAAGCACAATCCATGACAGAGGAGGCTAGTCAAGCATCCTGATTGTAAAAGGGGGACTGAAAAGCCATCTACTTAACACTGACAAAAAACAAACAGACTAGAATAACTTAAAACAGTAACAAAGAAAACCAAAAGTGTATCCGTTTGAATTTTAAAAGAGAAAAAGAAAAAAAAAAAAAAAAAAACAAACAGAATAAGTAAAATCTTCCATGAGCCAGCTGTAAGGGCTGTGCCACTGCTCAGCTTACCTCCAGGAGAAGAAGGGTCTCCTGCTCTGTCCACTCCCTTCCGGCACTAGCACCTTTACTCTACAAAACAAAGTCCAATATGATTTATTTGTCACAAATGCATACAGATGGGGCTCAAAAGAAATTTCCTAGAGCTCACAGAATTGTTTTATCCAGACCACCAAGAGGAATCCTTGATCTTAACCTCTGAGCCATCTCTCCAGCCCAACAGTAATTTTCCTACTTTGATTCCTCCAATCATTGAAAAACTTTAATGTATAAAAACAAATTTCCAGTCCATAATTTCCTTGTTTCGATAAAGCTTCTCAATGTAAATGACAGGACTTTTTTTGTATGGGAGTTACATGCCCACAGTAAAAGCAGAGTCATGTTTTGCTAGGCCTCTAGAGCATTCATTTTATAACACTCTGAAATACCTGATAATTTGCAGAACAGAAAACAAAACTAACTTATGTAATTATCCCTAACGGGTTTTTGTTGTTGTTGTTGTTGTTTTTGTGGCACATAGGAACGAACCTACAAAAATGGGCATGGTAGACAAGTGCAGTCTCACAGAGGTAAAACCTTAGCCCTAGTGGACAGTATTATTAAAAGATGCACTACAATTCACAACATACTGCTAACATGCACTTAGAAGTATCTTAACACAAAGGAACTTCTTAACCACCCCCAATCAGACTGAGAAACAAAGCTTTAAAGATGATCTAACTTCAGAAGAAACCAAACACAAGAAAGCCCTGGGCAATTACACAACCTAGATACTGATAACTCTGATGGGCAGGCCTCAGCAACCATCTCTCCACATGGTTTACAGCAATACATGTTTCCTCTCTTAACAGGAGCTTATGAAAGGTACACTGGGGGCTTGGAAATATGTATAGCAGGTGAATTCTGTATGGTTTGTTTCCCCGATATTTACTGAGGTATGATTAAAAAACATCTTACACAAATCTCTCCCCTTAGGCAGATAAAAATTTATTCTAGTCATGTAAAAAAAAAAAAAAAAAACTGCAAAAGGACAACAGATATGGTTCAATGCTCAAGAGCACTTACACAATGGGATAAAACAGATTACAGATTAAGGAATATGTCCACTTCTGACTTCTATGGATACCAGGTATTCAAGTGAAGCCTAAATAAGCAACAGAAATGCAGGAAAAACATTTGCTCACTTACTCACTCACTCGCTTGCATGCACGAACATACACTTACACTCCACAAAACAAAAGCTTTTTTTCCTAAAAATGGCAAAAGGGCTCATGAGATGCCTTAGCGTTAAGAACACTGGCTGTTTTTCAGAAGTCCCATGACCAACGTGGCAGCTCTCAGCCATCTGTAACTATAGTTTTGGGGACCTGACATCCTCTCTGGGCTTTTGTGGTCACTATACACAGATGTACAGGCAAAACAGGCATACATAAAAGGCAAAATAAACTTAAGAATTAATGTTATAACAGTTACTCAGGAGGCAGAGCTCTGTGAGTCTGAGGCCAGACAGAGAAACCCTGTCTCAAGAAACAAAAACAAGAAAGAAATAAAAACAATGGGACGTGGTGGTACATGCCCTTAATCCCAAAGTTCAGGACTCTGTGAATTCAAAGCCAGCCTGGTCTACACAGTTCCAGGACACCCAGATATGTAAAGAGAAAATATCTTAAAAAAAAAAAAAATTAAAAACTGCAAAGCATTCTTTAAGTATTAATTAGTTTGATAGCAAACAAAAGTATCCAGCATTTTTGCCATTACATTTTATTGGCTCTATAGTTATTTCTGTTTTTTAGTTTCTTTTCCGTTTATGTGTATCAGTGTTTTTTGTTTTGTTCTGATTTGGGCTTTCGGTCTGTCGAGACAGGGCTTCTCTCAGCGAAGGTCTGTAACCTTCGCTGTTCAGGGCTTGCTCTGTAGACCAGCCTCGGCGACTGCTGGGCTTACAAGTGTGCACCACCGCATGTGGACCGCACATCTGTGTTTTGGCTTCATGTGTTTATGTTTTCCATGTGCACACCTGGTATCCAGAGAGGCCAGAAGAGGGTGTTGGATCCCCCAGAACCAGAGTTATGGATGGCTGACTTCCAAGTGAATGTGCAGAGTAAGTTCAGGACATCTACAAGAGGAGCACAGCACGTGCTTCCACACTGAACCATCTCTTACACTGGTAGCCTCTAACTCAAGACCGCTAAGTGCTGGGAACGGATTTGTTTTATGCTATTACACTGCTTGAACAAACCAGAAATTATAATTGGATATCTATGTTTATCTACATGCTTCTCAATTTCTGGAAGGGTCTTTGTACACTGGAATTATTTGAGTGTAAGGCCATTCTGGTGTTGACTATTTCTAAATTCTTTCAACTTTTATTTTATATATTTTGATGTTTTTAAAATAGCATATACACAAATATGTATGTAAGTATGTACTTATGGGTGTGTGCAAAATCTTAAAATATTGTGCCTTCTCAATTATCCTTTTTTATCACCAGGAAATATGTTGAAATAACCTCATCTGCTGTCTATCTATGCTAACATAGACAGTTCGCCAGCTCTGAGGCGTGTGCAGGTATATCCTCTTGTTTTACAGTTACTTGAGTTTATGCTCTACACTCAAGTTTCTGGAAAACACTGTTGTCCTTGATTTTTTTTTTTTTTTTTTTAATCCAAGTTGACAATTTTGCTGTTTCAATGAAGTATTAAAACTGTATGGAACAGAGGATTATATGGAATAGCTTAGAAGGAGGAAAGGAAAGGAGAAATATTTTAAATAAATTAAAATCTCAAGGGCTTGATAAATGTAATATATATTATGTATAATATATATATATATAAATATAAATAAAATGGCTTCTAGTTTCTGTTTTTCTGAGATTTCTGAGCATGCAAGCCAGTAGATCTCTGATTAGTGGGTTATTTGTCTTTATAACTCTTGACAAATTTTAACATCATAGTTTTTGATTTATCTTATTTCATATTATTTTGTTATATTTTGCCCTATGTCTCAGAAGTCTTTTCTTTCTTAATGAGAGACAGAAAGGGAATGAACTCAACTGGAAAAGGAGGTTGGGAAGAATTGGGAGGAGTAGCGGAATGGGAAAACTTATTCAGGACATGTTATGTGAGAAAAAAATATTTTCAATAAAATTATAATCATAAACATAAAAAAACTGTATGGAAAAAAAATAAAAATGTATGTAAGAGAAGGGCTAAAGAGATAGATCAACAGTTAAGATTACTGGTTGCTTTTCTAAAGGACCCAAGTTCCACAATTAGCACTCAAAAAGTACCTCACAACCATCTGTAAATCTTTAGCTCCAGAGGATTTAATGCCATCTTCTGGATTCATAGGGCACTACATGCAAATGGTGCACAAATACACATATAAGTAAAATGTTTAAAAATAATAAAACATCATCTGCAGGGCCAGGATCAACAGTGGAGCCCTGGCCTGGCTTGGGGACTGAAGTGGGAAGAAATGAGAGCACACGTGATTGCTTGTTATTGTCTGTTATTATCTCTTCTTCATAAAATGTTCCTTGTATTGTAACCTTCTGTGTGGGAGTAAGATTTCTTTTCTCTTCTGAAAAATGCTCTCAGGCCAGGCATGTGGCACATGCAACCCCAGCACTAAGGAGGAAGAGGCAGAGTGGATCTTTGTGAATTCGAAGTTCACCTGGTCTACCAAGTGAGTCCAGGATAGCCAAGGCTAAACAGAGAAACTCTGTTTTGAAACTGACCAACTTCACACTGTTATATATCCTGCCTTTTATCAAACTTGCCTTTATCATCCTCTGTGCTAAGAGTGTTAGTCACCATAAGGTCATGTCTTTATCGTTGGAAATATATACTATCTCCTAGTTAATCATATTTCTTTAAATAGCTGTGTTAAGACTTAGAACATTAACTTACAATTTGTCAATCTACTTTCAATTAATTTTTTCAACTTCCTATAAAATGTAGGAATATTTTCATAGAGTGTGAGGGAAACACTCTAAGGAGAACTATCTAAAGAAAGTGAAAACTTAAACTTTCTGGGTAATTCAGAAAGGCAGGCAGATTTGGGATAGGGTCCTGCTGAGCCACTGCTGACTTATGTTCAGTCTATCTGGGTTCATTTCTTTTACTACAGAGGAGTTTCATGTATTTTGCTAATAGCAATTTCTACACTTTCAAACATCTAGAAACATCTAGTTTTTACGCCACTGATGACTTAATACAGGTTTCAAAATGTGTTTATATTAATTTACAATATAATAATATTTGTTCTTTGACTTCTATCATTGATGTTATAACATCTGCCAATTTTGAATCAAAGCAGATGTTGAGACTCATAACCAAACCTTGGGCAGTGTGCAGGGAATCATATCAAAGAAGGGGGAGTTAGTAAGACCTGGAGAGAACAGGAACTCTACAAGGACCAAATATATCTGGGCACAGGGGTCTTTTTTAGACTGATTCTCCAACCAAGGACCATGCATTGATATAACCTAGAACTCCTGCTTGGACATAGCCCATGGCAACTCAGTATTCAAGTGGGTTCCCTAGTAAGGGGAACAGGGACTGTCTCTGACATGAACTCAGGGCTAGCTCCTTAACCTCCCCACCCTCTGCAACCCCGAGGGAGGAGCAGCCTTGCTAGGACACAGAGGAGGACACTGCAGCCAGTCCTGATGAGAACTGATAAGCTAGGGTCAAATAGAAGGGGAAGAGGACATCTCCTATCAGTGGACTTAGAGAGAGGCAGGGAGGAGATGAGGGAGAGAGGGAATGAGGGAGGGGGCTACAGCTGGGATACAAAGTAAATAAACTGTAATTAATATAAAATATATAAATTTAATTTAAAAAATCTGCCAGTTTTATTATGGCTTTAAAGTCAGTTTCTTTTATTAACCATATATTTATCCTCCTCACTTTGTTTTAATCAGTTTTAAAACTGTACTGATTTATTTTTGAGAGGCATATTATGCGTGTGCATTCATCAGTGAGGGTCAGAGGACAACCTTGGGTGTGGGCCCTCAGTTTACACCTTGTTTTTGGCAATATCCCTTTTACTGTATGCCTCTGTGCTGACTACTCCAGCCTTCTGGACCTGCAAGCTTCACAAGGATTATCCTGTCTTCCACCTTCTTGTTGCAAGAAGGTGACAACATAGCCAGCTTTCATGTGTCGATGGGATCTGAATCCAGGTTTTCAGGCTTGGTTCCAAGTACTATTACGTGCAGAGCTGCTTTCATCTGTTTTTTTTGCTTATTTGTCTGTTTTTGTTTTTCACCCAAGACAGGGTTTCTCTGAGTAGTCTTGGATGTCCTGGATGCACTCTGTAGACCAGGCTGGCCTCAAACTCAGAGATCCACCTGTGTCTGTCCCCCAGAGTGCTGGGATTACAGGTGTGCACCACCATGCCCGGCTCTAGCCTCTGAATATGCTTTTATTAGTTCTACAACAGTGTTAGTCATTATATAGTCAACTTATCAATCAAATTCCTCCACTTTTTTTTTTCCTACACTGATATAAATTATTTTGACTGTTGACATGTTTCTTTGTTCTCATTGTTTTGTCCTTTCTTCACCATTATCCGGTTGATTTTCTTTTTAGTGACTAAACTCAGCTTTCAGATAGGTCACTAATGTGTTCTGTTATCTGAATGGTCTGTTCAATCAATACAGAAGTTTACAACGTTATTACATGATTCTTACTATACATTCTACTTTACTTTTCAAATTGTGCTACCCTCAAAAATACTGTCTGGTTATTTTAAAATATCCATCTGCTAATCCTAAGTGATTGTTGAAACGCATCAAACCGAAGCAGAGACCTTGCTGGCTCCTATGAGAGACTAGCTTTTTTCTAAGAAAAAGAAGACATGAGAGCGGTTGGTCCTTGTGGGCTTACAAAAGTTTACCTTAGCCAGTGTTTTCTTGGAGTAAATGTCAGTTCGAAGACCAAAGTTCTGCAAATCAATTGGCTTTTCCTTGTTCTTCTCAGGAAAATTTAACATCTGTTGAGCAGCAGGGACCTATGCAGCATACAAATGACAAAATGACTGTATTAACCTAGTAAAAAATTCAAGGGGACAGAAGTTTTTAAGTAACTTAACACTGGCTCTTCACGGTGGTGCACACCTTGAACAACAGCATTTGGGAGGCAGAGTTCAACACCAGCCTGGTGAGTTCCAGGACAGTCAGAACTACATAGTGAGACTGTTTCAAAAAAGAAATCAGAAGAACAAAGAAAAAGAAACCACTTTTGGTCAAGTTTCTATAAACACATAATAATAACAACACCAACAAACAGTAAGTATGCATTCATAGTAAACTGTAAAATCAACATGAAAAGACAAATATTTCTGGTGCTCCCTTAAGTAAGAGAAGACAGGCAATTGTTCTGCTAATATGACATATTCTCTTTCACAATGAAGAGGAAATACAGTGTGAACACCCGGCTATTAGATTGGCACACTATCGTTCCAGAACAATGCATGTCTACTTCTGAAATCATTAGTTAAGTTATTAATAAAGGTTCGAAAATGAACATTTCCAAGACAGACTGAATGACAAGGATGTGTATTATCTGCTTCTTTACTAGACATTGGTGGCAAAGGGATAAAGAGGTAAAGATTAACAAAAAATTCTGTAATTTCAAAAGATAAGGTGGCACGATATTTCCTTAAATATTATATATATATGTATTGTTATGGACAATATTGACATTTGGAGAAATAAAAAAACAAAAAATAAGCAATCCCAAAACTATCTGCTAAGAAGCAGCACTAAGAAAATTATCCTATCACTAGAATGAATACTGTTCCGAGTATCAGGCAGACCTCCAGAGCCGTTATCACTAACCTACCTGTGGTGATCGAAGATGTAGAGGCACAAGCCCTGAGGGTGTATCAGCTAGCACATTGAAGTGAGGAGTAGGAGGAGGTCCCATTGCCATGGGTCGACTCTCTGGATCAACTTGGTAGTTAACAAGACCCCACTGTTCTAAGAAGGCATGAACCCTGAAAGATAAAATGTTCCGTACATTACAACTGAGTGAACCAATCTATTCTGCAAACCTGTAGTCATGCAATTAACAAAACAGAATGAAGAAAGCATGTTCTCTGCAGGTCAAAACCCAGCTAAGAATCTTGGTGCTATTTTAGGGAGAATATACAACCTCAAAACTGAGTGCAATGTCAAGTAATTCAAATAATATCTGTGGGTTGTTTGTTTTGTTTTCTATTTTTGGTGGTACTACTATGTAGCTCTGCACTTCACTGTAGAGACCAGGCTGGCCTTGAAGGCACAAACTTCTGGCTGCCTGTCTTCCAAGGGCTGGGAGTGAAGGTGTGTAGTCATCAAATAATAGTTTCAGTCACAGAAAATAGAAAACAAGTGCTCATTTAAATTCATGATGAAAGCACTCATTTTCTGACTCAATTTAAGAGAAAGAAATCCAAATTTAAACTTTGTCCTGGGATGGTCTATACACTCCCTACCTAAATCTCTTATCATTTTATAACCTGACTATAACAAAATGTATGAACTATGCAACACAAATTACCAAAATGGGTATTACAGCAGAGAATCGCTATGAGTGCAGTAAAGAAGGCATTGGTTAAACTGGTCAGATGAAGGAAAGCTCTTTCCGGAAACCAGACTCTGTCTCCTGGCACCCACGTCAGGCTGCTCCTAACTGCCTGCAGCTCCTGCTCCAGGAGAGTTGTTGGTACACTCCTCTGGACCTCAAGCTCGCCCTGAGCCCACATGATCCATGTAAATAAAAATGTCAAAAATCTTAAGTTCAAAATCGGCTAGATATAGAACAGCAGTGCACCTACAGTACAGGATATAGGTCAAACATTTTACCTCATCACAGCACACACATCTCCAGTCAGGTTTCTCCGACAAGCAGTGCTGGTTAAATATTCTTGGGGGTTTAGACGGTATGTGTCAATCATAAAATTCCGATATGCCAGGTATCTAAAAAATCAAGGCCAAAATCTATGAGGTAGATTTCCATCTTTTGGATAAAATATTCCCAAACCCAAAACTAACAGTTTTTGACAAGAATAAGGAAAAACAAAACAAAACACAGAAGACAGCAATATAAAACATCAACAACACTGGTATTGTACTAACAATTCACGTAAATTCAGAGCCAATAAGATACAAAACAAGTGTGCACCTCATTGTATCAGCACATGAGGTAACCTGAACACTGACATAATCTAGTCTTGGTTGCTAAGCAGTGTTCTCCACACTGTGTGTGAGGCGGCTCACCTCATACTCCAATTCTTTGTAAAACAAGGCACATCATTCTATTCACACGTGAGTAAGTGACACACTGAGCACATCAGGAGCTACCTCCCCTCGAGGGTGGGAGAGTGAGTGTGGGCGGGACTCAGCACATCTAGGATATGCACTCTCAAGTTCTGATCACACTCACTCTCTACCCAACACTTGCTCTGACACAGCATTATGCCTTCACGGGCAATCTGAACACTCAGAGAGACTTGGCCAGACAAACAATCACAGAGATCAACTTCTGGACAAAGAATTTTAAAATAAATGATTAAAGAAAGGAAAGAAAAATTAGGACTCTAAGTCACAGCAGCTTCCACAGCACGGTGAAGTATTTTTACCACAGATGCTTTTTAAAAATGTGTTAAGGATCATGACCTCTAATAACAATTTTTTGCATACAAGCAAAAAGAAAGTCTGAGAAAACTTGAGGAAAGCTATGTAGCAAAAAGCCTACTGAACAAGCATGGCTAGACAAAAATGACTCAATTTACCAGATGAAAAAGGCTAAAATAGAAAAGCCTAATCTAAAGAGATGACTCGCCAAATCCTTAAGTGTTTAAAAACATGGAAAAAACAATCCAGGTCTTTGAAGTCCAATCTGGATTTAGGTAACTCTAACAGTGGTATTATTAGAAGGTTAGTACTATTTCTGACATCAAAGCATAGAATCTCAAACTGACATGAAAAAGTACAACCAGACTATATTAATAAGTTTTCTATGTTGTGCTATGTACTTTACATAGAAAACTATTTAAGTTGGTTCTCCCCTAGAACATGGTTAAATAGTGGTTATTTTGGCAGTACACACATGCAATGAAAATAGATTATGTTCTAAGAAAGGACATCTGTGAACTAATTGTAGAGGTAAGAGTTTTGAGAGAAAGGCTGGGTGTGGGTGTGCACATCTTTGATCCCAGCATTCAGGAAACAGAGGAAGGCAGATCACTGTGAATTCTAGGCTAAGCTGGCCTATACAGTATGACCCTAAATTGAAATAAAAATAAAGGAAACAAACAACAAAAAAACAAGTTTCCAGAAATATGTAACAACTGGTCATAAGGAAAAGAGATCCTTCCTGGTAAGCAAATGGCATCAGTCATTTCCAATTCTAGTGCAAAACCAAATGCTTCAGAGATTTAACTCAATTCAAATGCAGCTGATAATCCTATATAAAAGCTTTTAATTAATTTGTCACAGAGACAGATTCTATTCCCTACCAGATCATTATAATGCATGCAAATCCTAACACACAGAGACAATGAGAAGCTATTATGACAGCTGGGCAACGGTGGCCCATGGCTTTAATCACAGTACTTGGGAGGCAGAAGCTGCCAGATCTCTGAGTTAGAGGCCAGCCTTATCTACAGAGTGAGTCCAGGATGGCCAATGCTATACTGTTTTGGACCTCCCTGACCCCCCCCCCCAAAAAAAAGGTCCCACTCAGAACAAAACAAAGCTATTATGACAAACTTCTACTAAACACCCATTTACTAAATTAAAAATATAAGTGCTAGAACTGACAAATATAATCAGAAGTTTAGGAAGAAAAACTACAAATTCCTTTGAAGACCATGCAAAAATGAGATATAAATATTATACACTATTTGTAAATTAAAAACAAAAATAAAGAACAGTAACAACCAACTGAGAATTATATTTTAAGAATCAGGAGAAGTGGGGGAAAAACTCAGTGGTTAAAAGTACTTGTGGATGGTCTTGCAGAGGATCCAGGTTTGGCTCATAACCTCCATAACTGGAGCTTCAGGAGAATCAATGCCCTCTTCTGGCCTTCACTGGCATTGCACACACATAGAACATTCTTATGCAGGCAAAACACTCATACATAAAACTAAAGCAACAAACCCATGCTATTAACACTAAAAGGTCTACAAAACACTGGGCTCACATTTCTGGAGTCTTGGATTTGTTTTTTCCATTAAAAAACTCAGGAAGAGCACGCCGTTCAATCACATGAATACTGAAAGAAAAGAGCAGACTGATATTGTTTTTTGATAATTAAATCTTAAAATTTGAGCTATGCATTACTCACTTTTCAAAGGAGAACAGTTTGATTAGACAACATCCTTTATATTTAAGAAGAAAAAAACAATTACAAAGCTTTGTATTTTCTACTGAAGTATAGGCATACTATAGTTTTCCATTCTCCCAACTAACTGAAAAACTTCTGCTGGGAACGGCAATTCAAATCTGTAACACCAACAATTCAGACAGTCAAGGATGAACAAAATCTGATCTTAGCATGGGATATAGTTTGAGAGCCAGTCTCAAAACAACAAAAACTATGTGGACAATAAAAATCATAAATTTTATTACTAATTTTCAAAACATTAGAGAAATAAAATGGCACAAAATAAAAAGACTTCTTTGGAAACTGAATAGCAAAAATCAGAGTAGTAAATACAGCAACACAGTAATGAAGTGAACCAAGATCAATAATTTATAACAATTGCTCAGATTTCTAAAATTAAGCATGTCATATTATGGGTACTCCCAACCATAAAATTATTACATTTCTATTTCATAACTGGAATCTTGCTACTGTTACGAATCATAACACAGATATGATATCCAGGACATCTGATATGTGACCACAAAAGAGGTCATGACCAACAAGTTGAGAACAACTGGATAATGAAAAGAGAAAACACGTATCAGTGAGACTGGAACAGAGAAAACAACACAGTTGATTTGAAGTAAGTGTTCCCACTGCTCAGTCCCATGCTTCAGATGGAAAAAGCCCACTCACCAATTATAATCAAACCAGGATGCATAGCTAGGGATGATGATGTGATTGGTCTGTTCTGTGACATTATCTTCACCTGGGTCAACTGACCGACTCGGATCACCTTTGCTAGGATCTTCATCATCCTATAAGTAACGAAAGTGAAGTTCACAGAAAGACAAGTCACATCCATGACATCAGGTCAAACAAATGAAGACAGTGGATACAGTGTGAAGAACTAGAAGACAATTCTCAAGCATAAACATCTCTGAATTCTAGAGCTAGGAAAGTGGCAAAATGACAGGAAATTTGATTTTTCCTTTATCCAAATAGCAAAACACATTATTTAACAACAAGATTATCTTGCTGTTTCATTCATGAACTACTGACACATGAAAGCAAACCTTTTTTCACCAAAGCTTTTCAATTTTTTAAATTGTTATTTTAAGTGTATGCTGGTATGTACAACTTACATGCAGTGTCTAGAGAGGACAGAAAAGGGTGTCAGTTCCTCAGAGAGTTTTAAGTGTTACCAAGGGGATGCTGGGAATCAAAGCTGAATCCTCTGGAACAGTAGCCATGCCTGAAACAGCCACGGTGTCTCTGAAGCCCTTCACAACAGCTTCCTTTTAACTCATATAATTTTATGATCATAAACCTCAACTGCGAATTTTCACATTATTTACAAGAGTAAAGATACTAACAAAGCATAAAGATATGATTGCTTTTACTCCAAACACAAAACATGAGTACCTACTAATAGTCCTAATAAATTAACTCATTTATTCCTCATAATGACCCTAGAGGTACAGTAGAAACTATTTAGTATCTCTGTACAAAAAAGGAAAATTCACAGACGTAAATGACCAACAGAAAGAAGTGCAGCGAGAGGACGTACAGTGGTACATTAGCTGTGCGAGAGTGTGCTGAGAGTGTGCTGAGTGTGGCGGTGCACACCCGCAATCCCAGCGCTTGGGAGACAGAGGGCAGCCTGGTCCACAGCGTGACTGGAGAGACAAGCACAACTACCATGCGGAGGCTCCACATGGTAGGAGAGCAACTCCCCCAACAGAGTCTCTCAATGACAGCACACACGGCTACACACCGAGACCCCACTCCAATTCTATTGATCAGATCTCTACCATACAGTTTAAAATCAAATCGTTCAAGTGCCTCAGAAATTTTTTACTGATATCTCTTCTCAGAGCAAAACTGGGTCACAGATTGCACATTGTGAATGATATTCACAACTTTTAACAGTCGCTCCTGGGGACTGAACTCAGCTGTTGTTACAGGCGAAAATGAAAAACCCAACCATTCTGTTTTACCAATAAAGACTCAGGAGACAGATGGCTGGGGTGAAAACCTGCTAGCTCAGAGAGACAGAGAAAGTACCCAGCTAACGTTCCTTCTCTGCTTAGGTCTGGATTGAAAAATCCCAGGAGCAAAGGGATAAAAAAAAAAAACCAACAAAAAAACCCAAGACTGAAGGCTTGCTAGCTCAAAGGCCAAAAAGCCAGAGAACTGAGGAGCTGAAGCCTAAGCTAAAGCCAGAGCTTAAGCTAAAAGCTCGTCTTCGTGCTGTCTTAAATACCCCTCAGCTCAAAGTCCCTCCTACTCTTTAATGCTTGTCAGCTGTTTTCTTACTTCACCTCTTGATTCAGGGTTAACTTTATTAAATCCTGTGTGCAAAAAGCTCTGGTTGAGGACAGCCTGGTATACAAAACGAGTTGCAGGACAGCCATGGCTACAAAGAAACCCTGGTCCAAAAAAACAAATTAAAACAACAATAAAACAGAACCATTAGCTGGGAGTATGAAATAGAAAATTTAACTGAATATGGTAGCTAATGACAGAAATTTAGTATAGTTTGAAAAAAATGACTCAAAAAAAAAAAAAAAAGCTAGGTACAATATGCATATGGTTTAAGCTACGTTGGAGACCAAGAATCAGGTCATCGTGAGCCAAAAAAAAAAAAAAAAAAAAAAGTGTGAGAGACCCTGTTACAAGCAAAGGATGGACCAGGGACCAGGTAGTAGGTGCTAATTCATTATATATGCAAGCCCCTCAGGTATAATCCCCATTTTTACATGCACCTGGCACGGGAATAACAGCGGTGAGAAGGAACAGGATGGAGGATCAATAGTTCAAAGACATCCTTGGACAGAGTTCAGTTTGAGAACAATCTGAGTTCTGTTTTTGCTCAGGGCACGTGTCTAAAAGAAACTCCTCTCACACAGGCTTAAATGAACTTTTACCTTTCCTCCTGTTGTAACTGCTTCTTCATCTTGCTCATCTGTAAAATCAAAACAAGTTGTTTTAATAATCACTCATTGCTTTTTGAGTTATGTAGCATAAACAAAATAGATCCTTACTAAACCGAATTAACAATGAAAAAATGATCATCTTACACAAATGCATTAAGATGGAAGATCATACCAATTTTTAAGCAAATGAAAAGTTCATAATTAATATCTGCCAGTTATCATAATTATAGCATCATCATGTGGATCTTATTGGTAACAAGATCATGTAAGAGAGTTGACTGAAGACCCAGTCTCAGTTGGGCGATTGTGGCACACACCTTTAATCCGAACACTTGGGAAGCAAAGGGAGGCAGAGTTCTGAGTTTGAGGCCACCTGGTCTACAGAACTACGAATAGTGGTGAAATCACATATGAAATCCCTTAAAGAAAAATTTACAGACAAGCTGAGTGCGGTGGTGCATGCCTGTAATCCCAGCTCCTACAGAGGGTAGAGGCAGGCCAATCTCTGAGTTCCAGGCAAGCCTAGTTAACAAAGTGAACCCAGGACAGCCAAGGCTACACAGAGAAACCCTGTCTCAAAAAATTCAAAACAAAACAAAAACAAAAAACAAATTTACAGTCAATAAAATTTAAAAGAAAAGCAACAGAATAAGATAATTTGAACACAGGGAACTTCCCAGAGACTCATACTCCAACCAAGGACTATTCGTGGAGATGACCTGGAACCCCTGAACAGGTGTAGTCCATGGCAGTTCAGTGTCCAAGTGGGTTACATAGCAATGGGAAGAGGGACTGCCTCTGACATAATCTGATTGGCCTGCTCGTTGATCACTTCCCCCTGAGGGGGGAGCAGCCTTACCAGGCCACGGTAGAGGACAATGCAGCCACTTTTGATGAGAACTGATAGACTAAGATCAGAAAGGAGAGGAGAACCTCCCCTATCAGTGGACTTGGGGAGTGGCATGCATGCAGAAAGGGGAGGGAGGGTGGGATCGGGAGGGGAGGAGGGAGGGGCTTATGGGGGGATACAAAATGAATAAAGTGTAATTAATAAAAAATTAAAAAAAAATTTTAAAGAAAAACCCACAAAACTATCTGATGTAGCCGGGCATGGCAGCTCACACCTCTAATCCCACCAGTAGGGAGAAAGAGGTTGTCCATCTCTTCTGAGGAAGTCCAGTCCACAAAATGAAGTCCTGACCACTCAGGGCCAACAGTGAGACATTGTCTCAAAAAACAAACAACAACCAAAATAGGGTGGTATCAGCACATGCCTTTAACCCCATCACTAAGGAGGCAGAAGAGGCTAGCCTGGTCCTCAGCGAGCTAGTTCCAGGACAGCCAGGACTAAAGAGAGAAACTCTATTTCAGGGAGGGAAAAGTTGAAGTCACACAACAAATTAGTAACATAAAATGAAATATGAACACACACACAAGTCTCTGAGGTTAGCATGTCATGTATGTACTGTGGACAGCAACGGCGCATGGGGACAATGTAAATCACTGACAATGAGCCCAAACACGGCCCAGGCCATTTAATATTAGCATGCTTGGGAAGAGCCTGCTGAAACACTCTAGCTGCATTCCTAATGAGTAAAAAATAAAGAAATAACCGTTATTATTCTAGTCAAATAATTTATTAGTAAAACAGAGCTACGAGGGTGCACTAGTGAAGTGTATGACTACCCAGAATGCATGTGTGCAGTGCAGAAGTGGACACCACCAACCTGCCACTAGTAACGGGGCTTGGGCTTAGTAAGTATGTTATAAAGAAAAAAAAAAGAAAGAAGAGCAAAGTGTGGTGCCCATTCAAAACTGGCAGCTTGCCATCAACTATAAATTATTTCTAACAAGTGATGAGTAACATATAGGTAAGAATAAAAAATCCGTGAAGCCTGAGGAAACCTAAGGAAAATCAGTTTCTTACCAGATGCTGTTACACTTTTAAAAATTACAATTTAAGCGTGGAGTGGAGTTCACGCCTGCCATGCACGTGACTCTGGGTTTCATCACCCCAAACACCAAAAGCTCTCTATTCTTTCACACGTTTCTGTGACTAAGACACTCTGGACACCTGACCAAAACTGACATCTATTAAGCGACATCCTTCTTTCATATCCCAACATGCTATTCAATAAATATGCTATACTTCTCTGGGTGGGTATAAAAACCTGTTGTTTTCTTTTTTCCCCAATACCTCAAGAATAGAAGGAATAGTACAGATTTCTATGACTAAGAAGGGAACTAAAACAGCTACAACTCTGAAAACAAAAATGTACATTTGAAGGGCTGGAGAGATGGCTCAGTGGTTAAGAGCACTCAGAGGACTCAGGTTCTATTCCCAAGAACTACAAGGCAGCTTACAATGGTCTGTAAGTCCAGAATTGGGCTCTCTTTATAAATGAGGGTATTGTATACATGTAGACAGACAGACATTCAAACAAGCATCCATACACATAAGTAAAATTGAAGAAAAAATACACCTGATAGGTCACAGCGGCCTTGGTGTCAAAGTCATATTACAGCTGAGATTGAAATGAAAGGTGCCAAGAAAAAAAAAAAAAAAAAGACAGCAATGTCAAATTCAAAGAACCTAATTCTCCACTGGAGAGCAAGAACATCTCCAGCCACAACACTCAGTGCAGCGTCATGCTCTAACACAAGTGTACAATATGTGCTGAAAAAGTCAGGGTATTTCACGCTATTTCTTTTCCATTATATTGTGGTTGGAACCTTTAGGCTCTTCTCACACAAGCAATTATTATGTGCATGCTCTGGTATAAAAAATTCTGTCAACCAGCTGTGGTGGTGCACAGCTCTAATCCAAGAGCAAAGGCAGGTGAATCTGTGAGTTTGAGGGCAGTCTAGAGTTCCAGGACTGAGCAAAAGAAGAAAAAAGCTACACAGAAAAACTCTGTCTCAAAGACACACACAAACCAAAAACCAAATCATCAACAATAATAACAAAACCTATCAACCTGCTACCCAGGCACTGTGTTATGCACGTTAATCAAATCACTTGGGAAGCAGACAGATCTCTGAGAGTTTAAAGCCAATCTTGTCTAAAGAATGAGTTCCAGGCTACTCAGAAATAGAGACCCTGACTTAAAAACATATCAGAACAAAAACCAAAAAACCCAAACAAGTAAGTTATCAATTACAAATTACCACTCTTGTTTAGCAAAATTTCAGTGAAAAACATCCGGCTTCATAACCTTTCATATTGTCTGTCCATGCAGAAGGAAGAAATAAAAGTCAACTTATAATTAGCATTTCCTTTTCTGGCATTTGAATAAGTGACTATCGGTTGTGAAAGAGAAAAATGAATATATGTAATGTATAACAGATCAGACAATAACATCAGGATAAGGCAGAAATATTTTTAGAGTGCACCTGTTTATCTTCTTTGATTTGTCATCAGAAATGCTCCGTTTAAACGTTAGACTTTAAAATAGTCATGCACCAATATGTACCACTGTGGCATAAGCCAAAAAATATAGCACGGATAAATGAAATGTAAACTTAAAAAGTTTCCTAAGGGGCTGGGAAATGGCTCCACACTCCAATGGGTACTTGCCACGGTCAGGATCAACCCCTGGGCTTCCACTGTTTAAGGATGGTGGGATCCCAATTGTTGCCCTCTGCCTGAACAAACTACAGGATTCATGCCTGCACTCAGATCATATACACAAAATTAAGTAAGAACTTTATTTTGTTCAAAGAGGATGGTGTTGAGGGACACAGAGTCCTTTAGCCCAGGCTGGCCTGGAATTCAATATGTAGTTCAAGGCTAACCTCAAACTCATGATGAATAAATATTGTGAATATCCTTGAACTTCTAATAATGCAAACATCTGCACAAACCCTATAAATATTAAACATACAATAAAAACCATACTGTAATTGGAATGATTCCTTTAAAACTCAGATGTTAACTATTTTCAAGTGAAAATAAGATACTGCCAAGTTTGTTAGAAAATGCCATGTGCTGTCAACTGCAGGTCAAGGAAATACAAACAATGGATCATAGTAGGAACCTGAAAGAGGACAGTAAAGAAGGAAGCTGGCTAATCTTGAAAAGCAGTAGACAGGGAAAATGAAAGTAACCATCTCAAATAAATAATCCAGTATTTAAAGCTCTCACACAGCCAAGAAAGAATTTGTGGATGGTTTCCTTACCTAGATCTGCCACTGTGCCTCCTTTAACAGGTGTGTTTTCACTATCTTTCTTTGGATTTACTACAAGAGTGGAAAAAACAGCAGAATCATTTGTTAAAGAAAATAAGTCACACTGATTTTAAAAATATAAAGTAAGGAGCTGGAGAGATGGATAAGCGGTCAGGCAAAGTGGATCAGTTTAACTCCAATGCCAAGCAATTTGATGCCCTCTTCTGGCTTCCCACGGCCTGCATGGTACACACATGCAGACAAAACAGAAAATCAAGTTAAAATAAATAGGCTAGGCAGTGGTGGTGGCACACGCCTTTAATCCCAGCACTTGGGAGGCAGAGGCAGGTGGATCTCTAAATTTGAGGCCAGCCAGGTCTACAGACTTAAGTTCAAGGACAGCCAGGACTGCACAGAGAAACCCTGTCTCAAAAAACGAGACAAAACAAACCCACATACATAAATGAAATTAAAGACAAGACAATACAATTAAAATATGTACTTGTATCATTATATCCTGAGTATAGCCCAGCATTCACGTAAAAACATCAGGACACAAACTACCAGCCATATTCTGTAATAAATCACTCAAATAGCAACATATTTCTATTCTACAAATGCAGAAAAGTTAACTTGTCAACACACAGTGGAATCCCTGCTAACATTTTTCTGTACTGGACATTAAAGGAACCTGATTTTTACATTACTCATTTTCTCCCTTAAAAAACTGTTGGGGATGAGACTGAAATTGAACTTAGAATGTCACACACGCTAGGCATGCACTGCAGGACTATTCCCATTTCTTATTTTATTTTTATTTCTTTAGTTTTTAAAACATGCATGAAGACCACGCTTACCTCAAATTCATGATCCTCCTGCATAAGCCTCCTAAGGGCTTGAATTATGGGTTTACACCACTATACAGACGACAGTTTTAAATGTATGTACCTGTCTGATTGGAGTGTCTTTTCAATAGGAAAATCACAAACAAAACAAAACAAAAAACAAAAACAAAACAAAACAAAAAAACCCTAAATGACCAATAAATAAAACGAGAAAGTAAGAACTTTTAAAAACTTTTAGGAGAAAAATCTATTCCTATTTCAAAGTTAAGAGTTATGCGGTACTAGCAGGGTGGCACAGCCTTTAATCCCAGCACTTAGGAGGTGGAGACAGATGCAGGTAGATCTCTAAGTTGGAGGCTAGCCTGGGTCTACATGTGATTTCCAGAACAGCCAGGGTGTACAGAAATATGCTATTTCAGAAACCTAAAAGAGAAAGAACTGTATCCCCAGAACATAACACACTACTCGATCTATGGTGAAATGAAAGCCAGCACTCAGTCTCATGCAGAAGAGCACCAACCGTTCTTAGGGAGGACCACTTCCTCTATATTTGGTACAGGTGTTGGGTCTTCCATGTCCTTGGTAAGATCTTCTTGCTCATCTTCTTCTTTCTGACTTCTACGCTTCCCATAAAGGCTAGCTTGTCTAATACATATAGGGTAGAAAAAGGACAATTATAGACACTTTTAGCAAAATGGCTAAAGTTCTATCTAATTTATTACTTGTATTCAGAAAAACTTTTAAAAACAAATTAGATACCCGACTCAAGTAACATGAACTGAATCCCAAACTCTAAGTGATTAGTGTAAGAAATGGGAGGAATGTGAATTAGTAGAGTAAAAGAACAGGTGGGGGTGGAAAGATGGCTGAGCATTTTCTCAATTGAGGTTTCTTCTCAAATGACTCTACCTTGTGTCATGTGAGTAAGTGTGTGGTCAGCCTGTTTACATAGCCAGGTTCAGGAAAGAGAGGACTATGTAAGAAATCCTGTTTCAAAATGTAACAAATGCCAGCACTCTGGAGGCAGAGGCAGGGTTTGAGGCCAGCCTGTTCTACAGAGCACCATTACAGCTAGGTCTACGTGAGAATCCCAGTCTTGAAAAACAAACAAAAACAAAAACAGTCAAACAAAAATAAAAAAGAAAGACAAATGTATGTAATAAAGTAGGCAAGTCTGAAATTATCAAATATTTACTTCTAATAACTGAATTACCAAATATTATCTGTACTTTTAGTACATACTTAAAGCACTGCATAAAGCATTAAAGTTTCATTTTATATTGTCAGCAATTTATTCAATTAGAAATCTAAACTGTCACTCAGAACAGTTAGGTATGCTATTAGGCTTGTCAGAACATCCAACAGTTCAACAGTCAATTTAATCACAAATGGTGATTAAATGGTCAAATCAGTAAAGAGGGAGTAATTATGTGTCTGAGACTGAAGCTATGAGAAAACATGTTTACAGAATAGCCTCAAACCTTGACTTGTACTCTCAACCTTGTCTCCCGACTGCCAAGGTAACAGGCTCAGGACATGAACTGCAAAACTCCTTACCTTGTTAAAGTCTAGTTTCCAACAAGGAGAAAAGACTGTATTCAAGGTCTTCCTATATAAATAAGACTCCTTTCAAAACTATCTGATCAAGCTGGCAAGACAGGTACCTTCACTTGGTACCTGACCTGACAACATGAGTTCTTATGACCTCCATACCCAAACAGAAATAAATTTTTTTAATGTAATAATAAAAACAAGTTAAAAAGACAAACTATCAAAACAAAAGACTTCAAAGTCAAAAGGATGACTATTGTTTGGCAAAATATCCAACACCTAGGAAAGCATTTCAAAGTTTGTCTCACACTACAAACATCTTACCCTTTCTTTCCACTCTTCTTCCGGGATTCTACAGGTGTGGGAGGTGGAGGAGAAGGGGAATGCTTCCTCTTGCGAGCATTAGCTGATGCTTTTCTATCTCTCCTCTCTGGACTTCTGACTGGCTAGGAAGAAGTAAATGAAAATAAGCATTAGGCAACTTTGTCAATTCATAAGTTTCTACAAACCTATGTGCAAAGGTGACTTTCCATACAATACCACCTTTCTTGGGTCAGAGCAAATGAAGCTACAACACTGAGCACAAAATACCAGCAGTGACGAAACATTCCTGGGCCTCTAAGACCAGCGGCTTTCAACATGTGAGCTGTGACCCTGTAGGGCTTTGACCGACCCTTTTACAAGAGTTGCCTAAGGCCATGAAAAAAACACAGATAAGTTTACATTATGATTCATAATAGAAACAAAATTAGGGTATGAAGTATCAACAAAAATTATTTTAGGGTTCAAGGTCATTACAACTGAGAGAGCATTAGGAATGTTGAAAACCACTATCTTAGGCAAGTCACCAGAATTGAAATACTAATCATAATTCCACACATATTCAAAATATACTACAAGACAAGCCAAACTCTACAAAACAAAAACCATCACTGCTCAATATTTGTACTCTCGGATGGAAAAAGCATTTCAGTAAATAACTAATATAATGATACCTGCTACTGAATTAAGAAATTAGGAGTTCAAATTATCCTGCCAAAAGTGTCATGGATAAAATAGTCTGATAGATGGTGGTGGTCGTGCATGCCTTTAATCCCGGACGTAGGAGACAGAGCCAAGAGATTCTCTAAATTTGAGGGCAGCCTGGTCTATAGATAGCCTAGTTCCAAGACAGCCAGAACTACAGCGAGAAACACTATAATGAAATAACAAAACAAAACCCAAATATTTAAAATTTTTAAAATAAATAAAATCTTATAATATACAGTGTGACAAAGATGTTTTTTTAGTATTAAGGTCACAGGTATAAAAACATGAAATATCTCTATTTTCAGTTAGTGGGTTAAAACACACACACACACACACACATATAAATACCAAAAACAAACAAACAAATAAAGTGTAAACCAGGCATGGTGAAATACATTTGCAACCCAGCACTAGGGAGGCTGGGTTAGGACTGTCAATTCGAGTCAGCCTGAGCTACTAAGTCAGACTATAGGGCAAACACTTGTTCAAAACAATACTACGTACAGAAAGGAAATTTAAGAAGCAAAACAAATAAAAACAATCTTAGAATCACACAGGTCTTTTCATTGGACTGCCATAAACCCAACAGTTACAAAGGGCTTCCTTTGTGGCCCCAAGTCTTACTCTAGTGACACTTGTGGCCCACAAATTGTGAGGTTTTGTTTGTTTCTAGAGACAGATCTCACTATGTGATTGTAACTAGCTATGCAGACCAGCCTAGCCTCAAACCCACGAAGGCATATCTGCCTGCTCCTGTCTCCTCAGTGCTAGGGTTCAAGTCATGCACCATCATTCCTGGCACAAATAGTGCTTTATAAGCAATCATGAGTAAGTAGCTAAAAACCTGAAGTTCACTTAATCAAAAAGTTTTAGAGGTTAGCATGTGAAGTAATAGGTTTCATAGTATTATCTTCATATGAATAAGGACTTAGATTTAACAATAATAAAGAATGTTACTTGCTAAATTTCCAATGCAGTACTTTAATTCTTGAGATACGTTAAGACCAGTATTTTGTAGTATTGTGTTTGCACTGAGGTTATAAAAATATATTAAGGAAGTTGTTTTTCCTAAGGAAAACTGTTAGCTAAGGTATCATGTGATATTATTTAAAAATCTGAAAGTTACTATTACTTTGTTGACTAAATTTTAAAATGCATTTAAAAATTAAAACATGGGTTAGTACCCACATGGCAGCTCACATCTGACTATAATCTCTAGTTTTGCGGCATCTAGCATTAACACAGAAAGACCTGCAGGCAAACATGAATGCACATAAAATAAAAATTAATGGGGCTATTGAGATAGCATCATGGTAAAGAACAGTGGCTGCTCAAGGCTTGATTCCTGGCACGAGGAAGCTTTGAACCTCCACGTGCAGAAGCACACCCTCTTCTGTCACCCACAGATGGCATGCATTCACACATATACATTTAACACATTAGTTTAAGAGCTAGAGAGAGGGCTCAGTGTTAAGAGCACTGGCTGCTCTTTCAGAGGTCCTAAATTCAATTCCCGGTGATCACATGGTGGCTCACAACTATCTAGACAGAGATCTGGGGCCTCTTCTGGTGTGCAGTCACACATGTAGGCAGAACACTGTACACATAAGAAAGAAAGAAATCTTTGGACAATTAAAACTTGTATCTAGTGGACAAAGCCAGCAGAATTACTCCACTACCTGAGCCATTTACATTTACATTTTAATGCTCCATTAGGATTTCCATTACCCTTTCTAGTAAGATGCCCACAAACAGATGGTTCTTAAGTCACCAATTTGTACATATACTTTCTTGAAGATGCTTCTTGGTGTGTATGCGGCAGTTTATCAAAAAAGAAAACATTTATAAAAATGAAAGCAAAAGCAACCAGAGGAAGAAATAGTGCCAAGTAAAATACCTCTTCGTTCTTTGTTGGAATTCGCTGACGAAAGCTCACTGGCTTCCTGTTCTCATCCACTTCATAATCCTCTTCATTCATCCATTCATTGAAAACATCAGTGTCCAATATCCATTTTACATGAACCTAAAACCACACCAAATTGGCACAATTATGATTCAGCACTAGAAAATTTCCTCCTCTTTGTCACACCAAAAGGCACACTTGGGGGAAGGGCACGGAGTGCTTGGTTGCAACAAACCGAGAGCCACAAACTAGCAATTACAAATATAAAGACTTCCTTTAACACAGAAAATAAGCTGTGCTATGGCAGCCAATAAAAGACAGAATGAGCTTCTGTTCCAGGATTGTTCCCTGGGGAGACAAGATGTCTACCCCTTGCAGTATGATTCTACCAAACCCCAATTTGCAGAATTAAAGAGTTTATTAAGCCTACTTAGGGTGTGAATAACCCCCCCAATTAACATGAATGATGATTACAATATAGCTGTAAGCAATGACGTTACCCTTTCTATTAATCTCCCAGTCTATATGCTCTTGCAATCATGAGGTCATATGAACTTAGGGCAGAATTACATACAGAAAGCTAGGAAATAAAAAAAAAGTGGTCAGAATCTACATGTAAGTCCAATGAACCTCCCATATGCTCCTCTATAATAAAATGACAAGTCACGTGGCGTTGTCTTGGAGGTGTGCAGCAGGTGGCCACAGCTGATAAAAAGAATAGCTATTGTGCTTGAGGGATAGTGCTTCCCAGTAAAAAGAGTTTGATAATATAAGATCCATACTATTTTTGTTGTTGTTGCAGTTTTGTTTTTAAAGACAGGGTCTCACTATTATAGCCCTGGCTGGTCTTGAACTCTGAATGTCAACCAGCTTCCTCAAACACAGAGATCCACCTGCCTCTGCCTCCTGAGTACTGGGATTAAAGGTGTGTGCATGCCCAGCTACAGTTCAGTAGTTTAAAAGAGGAAAGAAAAATGAAGACAACAGGGTAGAGGGGAGCCACAGAGGATCTGCAAGGCCATATACTGAGCCTGCACTGCAAAGGCACAACTCATGCTTAAAGGCCTCTGCAGAGACCAGGGAGAAGGCATTTAAAGGGAAACTGATGCTGACAACAAACGCAATAACCTTGCAGAAAATAGGGATGCCAAGCATACCAGGCACAAAATGCTGAAGGTGTTGGAAAGACCCGGAGAATGGACATTTTTGATTAACTAATTCCCATTACTATACACTTTAAGATACTGCTTTTTAAAATCAACGTTTTTTGTTTTGTTGAGACAGGGTTTCTCTGTGTAGACCTGGCTGTACTGGTACTTGCTCTCAAGGCCAGGCTGGCCTGCAAATCAGATATCCACCTGCCTCTGCCTCCCAAATGATCAGATCAAAGGCATCCACAACCACATTCCACCAGTCCTTAATTTTTTTTTTTTAAATGAATTCTGTTCTACTTATTAAAAGCTATGCTCTTAAGAACGGTTATCTGGGAGCTGGGGAGATGGCTCAGTGGTTAAGAGCACTGTTTGTTCTCCCAGAGGTCCTGAGTTCAATTCCCAGCAACCACATGGTGGCTCACAACCATCTATAATGGGATCGGATGCCCTCTTCTGTCATGAAGGCATACATGCAAATAGAGTGCTCATATGTATAAATAAATAAATCTTAAAAAAAAAAAAAAAAAAAAAAAGAACTGTTTTCTGGGGGAGGTCACCAACAGAACATCACCCAGGCTAAACTGTATGTGAACAAAAAAAGCCCCCTTCACTGTCATCTCTTACCAGTCAGTGAGTGGTAGCACACGCCTTTAATCCCAGCACTCGGGGAACAGAGGCAGATGGCTCTCTTGAGTTCAGAGGCTAGCCTGGTCTACAGAACTAGTTTAAGGCTAGCCAGTGCAAAACAGAGAAACCCTATCTTGAAAATGCAAGAGTTTATCATGGATTGTAATTCCAGAATGCTATATGTTCCTAATGGTAGGGAAGACATGGCAGAAAGAACACAGAGGTGATTAAAGTTTCTCATACTCTAACTTGACTTTGAGCTCTTCTCAAGCACTGCACACATGAAATTCTTAGACCTTAATACTATGCCATCAGGGACACGGACAGTCTTTTAAATTGAGGTGTGGAGATTGGTCTGATGCCTGTTACTACCCCTCAAGATTTGGTTAGTTATACTTGTTTTGTAAACCTACCTAAAAAACACCTGATTGGTTATATAAAACACACCTGACTGGCCTATACCTGGGCAGGGCAGAATGAGCTGGCGTGACCAAGGTTCCTGGGCTTTGGAGGATAGCGGATCATGGGACAGGAAGAGAAGAGGAAGGACACCGCCATAATGGGTTAGCTTGGAGAAGGAAGGACAAGGGACTGGAGACATAACTCCCAGATAAAGAATAAAAGTAAGTACCACTGGATTATAGATGAAAGATAGTCCAAATGAGGATGATTAAGGTGGATGGCACTGGATGGGGGCTAAGAGGTGAACGGTGAGGTAGAAATATCTGCCCGGCCCATTATAAAATCTCACAGGTGTCTGTGTCTTACTATTTGTGATAGTGGGTTAAAAAATGCTGCCATGATAATCTCAGGGCAAATAGTAAATATTATATATCCCCAAACTCCTTTCTCTATTTACTACAACACTAAGGACATAAAAGAGACCACCAATACACATCTTTTTATAATACTGTTAGAAGCTAGGCATGGGGTCACTCCTGTAGCCTCAGTACTAAGGGCACCAAGGCAGAATGATAATTACAAAATCAAGGCCAGTTAGGAATACACAGTAATTTCAGAGACAGCATTTAAGCCAGAATAACAGTTTTCCAAATACAAATTAATTTGTTGTGGAGAATAGCAATTAAGAGCGTATAAAACTACTTTAAGCATATTATTATTTCTGGGTTTATGTACGTTATTATGAGTATTTTGCTGCGTGTATATCTATGCATACGTGTGGCTGGTAGAACATGGGTGTTGGCAACTGAACCCAGGCTTTCAGAAAGAACAAGTTCTCTGCTAAGCCATCTCCATCTTCAGCAATAATTTGTGAAACCCCCTCCTCAAGACAGGTCTTCTCTGTTTAGAACTGGCTGCCCTGAACTCGCTTTATAGACCAGGCTGGCCTTGAACTCACAATGATCTATCTGTCCCTACCTCTATGAGTGCCGAGATTAATGATGAGTGCCACTACGGCCTGTGGATTGGTTTTTCTTTTGTAATCGCTGTTTTCATCCTGACAGGGTCTTTCTACATAGCTCAGTTGCCTAGAACTCAGTAGGTAGACCAGCCTGGCCTTGAACTCAAAGAGATCTACCTGCCTCCCAAGTACTGGGATTAAAGGCATGCACCACTTTGCTCGGCTAAGAAATGATTTCTTTTTTTACAGGCCCATTACCTTCCATGGCTTTTCTGGAATTGGTGGATCTTCAATTTCAGCATCAACATCATTACTATGGACCCAAGTGTCATAGCTAAAAAGCAAATTAAAAAAACAAACAAAAATTAGAGCCAAGTTCTATTCATTAGAAAGGGTACTCAAACACTAAGAATATGTGTTACAAATATTATTAGGAGAAAAATTAGTAAAATGATGGGCCAATTAGATTGATCTGTGGGTAAAAGAATTTGCCACAAGCATAACAACCTGAGTTCCATTCCTAGAAATCACATACAAACAGAACTGACTTGTCAAACCTGTCCTGTGACCTCCACACATGTGCCATGGAATGACTGCATTTACCCTCACACACACATTACACACAATAATACTGTTAAAGCAAAACAAAAACAAAAACAAACCTCAATGACTTTTGTTTCACCACAGTCAATAAAAATGAACCAAGACAAAAATTATCTGAATTGGTTTAAAACAACTGTAAACAGCTGTTACCCTTTGCTCAAAATCCCTCTTTAACTTAGCCTTCTGGTCAGCACCATCACCTGAGACTGTTTTGTTCTCAGGCCCAGCACTCAGTTCTTCAGTCTCTGCTGCCAGCTTGTAGTTTTTGCCATATTAAACATTATAATTAACACAAACATTAAGTATTAACAATCTCTTTGATATTAAACAACACAGGGAATCTTTCAAACAAAAGCCTCCTCTTGGTGATCTCATTCAGGTTTCTAAAGTCATACTACAGTTCTTAAATATTACATCTGTCACGTAAGTGAATCTGAAACTCAAATCCAACAGGCAGTTCTACATTCTCTAGCTTATGTGTAATAACTGTTCCAAAACAAGAACACTCTAAGTTCATCTTGCAATGGCCCACTGGTGTCAAAAAATTTCAAAGTATGGGGCTGGAGAGATGGTTCAGCGGTTAAGAGCATTGGCTACTCCTGCACAGGTCCTGAGTTCAATTCCCAGCAACCACATGGTGGCTCACATAAATAAATATATTAAAATTTTTTTCAAAGTAAACCAATCCACTTTGCCAATTGCAGAGACCAAAACACTTGACTTCAAAACACTTCACTCCAAAGTACATCTCATGTCAAACCATCTGCAAATCTACCAAATGTACCTTCAAAGTATGTCCTGAGTCTACCTTCTCATTCCTGTCTTATCCTCTCCATTGCTTTCCCAAAAACTGATGTGTTCACATATCAACAGATTGATCTTTACAAAAAGTAAGCACAACATTCAAATTTCTGAGAAATTTCTAATGAATGAGTGTTCCGTTTTTAAAAATAACATAAGCAAGGGTCATCTGGAATGAGGGAACCTCAGTTGAGTGAATGTGTCCATCAGACTGGCCTGCAGACAAGGTGGTAATAAGTTTTCTTGAGGCTCAATCTAAATGTTTCAGAGCACAAACTCCTTTTCTCTGATAATAACAATGAAAACAAACAGCTTTTTAAAAAAGTGGTGGCATGCTAGGCAGTGGCAGCACACAACTTTAACCCCAGCACTCGGGGCAGAGGCAGGTGGATCTCAGTGAGTTCAAGGTCAGCCTGGGCTAAATATGAAAGACCTGCCTCAAAAACAAGACTAGGCACACTCTCTTAAAATTTAACATAATTAATGACATATTGTCTTTGCTTAAAAATGTAATTATGCCAGATGCGATGATCCATGACTGTTGTTTCAGAAATATAGGATACACTGTCGATAAGAGCAGACAATAACAAAGACAAAAGGAAGACAGGGAGAACAGCAGCGGAGGAAAGAGATGAGAGACAGCAGGCAAGGGCACAGGGGAACACGCCTATAATCCCCAAAACTCTAGAGGCTTAGGCAAAAGGGCTGCAAGTTCAAAGCTTGTCAGCATATAGAGATCCTATTTAAAACCAAAACCAAAAAGCCAGTAGGAAAGAAGAAAAGAGGATGCAGGAAAGTAATTTCTGGCAAGAAAAACATCAGAATTAGACATAAAATATAACATTTTAACATGCCTAGTTTTTTGAAAAGATCCAAGTCATTAGTCATAAACATTAGGAAGAAAAGTCCTATTTTAAAAAGGTTACTCAAGGCATCAGAGCTGGTGCTGCTGTGGGGTGGCATGGCAAAAGAGAAATACTCTTCCACTGTCCTGCTACTTGCAGCACACAGTAAAGATGGCCCTTGCCTTTACCAGCTCAGCACGAAGCGAACAAGCAAGCTGGGGCCCTGCAGAAAGCTCGCCCTGGGTGTGTGGCTGTGGAAGAGCTCACAAGGTGACCAACTCAGCTACCACCCAGACCTGGATCCAGGGCTTTGAGCCGGCCCACCCCATCTATGATATGCTGGAGTTAGTGAAGAGGCCGGTTATGCAGATCCAAAGCTACACAGGCTCTTCGTGACACAGAACAGGACACCAAGAGGAGTCCCAGTAAGGATCCAGTATTGGTAGTGTACCAGAAGACGGGTCCTGAGCCAGTGCAATAACTCACTGCGATGAACATTTGGAAATGGAGATGTATGAACAAAGGGTATACTGTGGGACACTACAACATACACATCTTTTTTCTTTTAGTGGGAAGGTTGCAAAGAGGGAGGGTGGGTGCGAAAGGATGGAAAGATGAGAGGGAACGGGATGCACAATGTGAAATTCAAAGAATCAACAGTAAGTTGAAAAAACATTTACTTGGGCTGGAGAGACGGCTCAGAGGTTAAGAGCACTGGCTGTTCTTTCAGAGGTCCTGAGTTCAATTCCCAGCAAGACATGGTGGCTCACAACCATTTGTAATGAGATCTGGGGCCTCTGCTGGTGTGCGTAAAGGAAGAGCACTCATACACATATAATAAGTACATAACTCTCTTTTTAAAAAGAAGAAAAAATTTACTCGTTTTATGTGACTGTTTTGCATATATCTACATGACTGATGTCCATGGAGGCCAGAAAAGGAAGTTGGATCTCTTGGAACTGAAGTTACAACATGTGGGTACTGAGAACAAAACTTAGATTCTCTTCAAGAGAAGAACTCAACAAACCAACTCTCCAGCCCCAAAGTTTTTCTTAAAAGACAAACTCCTTAACTAATGGCTTAATGTTAAGAATTCCCTTGGGGCAAGGAGGGAAAGAGTTCCCTTGGGCAAATAAATATCTCTCTTTGAGATAAGTAAAATTATCTTATGCTTTAAATAGGAAGTCTTACCTAAAAGGTCTGTAGGTTAAGATCATAACTGGGCGGGCAGTGATGGCGCATACCTTTAATCCCAGTGCTCAGAGGCAGAGGCAGATCTCTGAGTTCCAGTCCAGCCTGGTCTATGATGCCTCAAAAAAAAACAAAAATAAATAAAATGAATGAATGAGTGAGTGAGTGAACAAACAAGCAAATGATGAAGGACTGGACTATATTAACGGGTTAGCTCCTTGAACTCCTACTTGAATGAGCTAGCAGGACAGGCGGACGGGATGGACACTCAGATGACAGCACATCTTGGCCTGGCACCTTTACGTGTGTCTGTTTCCAAGCTGCTACCTACACTGCACTACACCGCTTCTGCTGTAACGCTCGTGCATACAAGAATACAATCAGGGGCCAAGCAACCATGAAGAGGTAACTCTATTCAGAAAATAAAACACTCTCCTACACATACATGACGTGTGTATCTCACATGCTTTGACTTAAAAAAGATTTTTCTTTCTTTCTTGGAGACAGGGTTTCTCTGTGTACCCCTGGCTATCTTGAAACCACCCTTTAGACCAAGCAGGTCTCCAACACTTGAGATTTGTCTGACTCTACCTAGATCTGCCTGGCTCTGCCTCTTGAGTGCTGGAATTAAAGGCATGCATCTGTTGTGTTGTTTATTGAAAAACAAAACAAAACAAAACGAATAAAAAATCTGTTTCTAGCTGTGTTGTGGCTTAGCCCTACCACACACCTTTAATCCCAAAACTTTGTTTGAATATTATAAACAGAATTAAATAAAGTCAACCATAGGTCAAGAGGCACAGTGGGCTACTAGCAGTCAGGAATTTGAACATAGAATTATTAAGAAAAACAAAAATACAAAAACAGAGAGGAAGAGGAAATAAGGAAGATGGATAGAAGGACACAAGTAGAAGGAGGGACATTCAGTTTGACACTCAGTTTTCTGAGTGGCATAAGAGGGGAGGAAATCCTTCTGGGACTTAGGCTGAGGAGGAAAGACAGCTGGGTGCTTTCTCTGCTTCTCTGGGCTAGCAGGCTTTCAACCTAGCATCTGGATCCCAGAGTCTTTATTTGTAAAATCCAACGATTGAGATCTTGTTATTTTTTTAACTTCTATTAATTGCACTTCATTCACTTTGTATCCCACCATAAACTCCTCCCTCCTCCCCTCCTAATCCCACCTTCCCTCCCCTTTCTTCACGCATGCCCCTCCCCAAGTCCACTGCTAGGGGAGGTCCCCCTCCACTCACTTCTGATCTTGAGATCTTGTTAAAAACAACATAGACCACTATGCCTGGGTGTCACAAATAGATACAGCAGAGTATGCTTGCTGTCTTTGTGAAGAAAGGAGCCTACAGGCTCTTTTAAAAGTAATAGAAAAGAGCATATTATTTACCTGTATTAGAATATACACTGCATTCATAACCACTTGTGTATTTAAATTTTACTAATATTTAAAACAATGAAGTTGGGTCAGCGATGAAGCACCTACCCCAAGGTGGGTTAAATCCCTCACTCACTCCTTAATAGTGGAGAGATAGAGAGAGAGAGAGAAAGAAAGCGAATAAAGGGAACAGCCAATGGTGGTGCATGTTTTTAATTCTAGCACTGGGGAGGCAGTGGTAGATGCACCTGTGAGTTGGAAGCCAGTCTGGCCTACAGAGCAAGCAGCAGGTAGTTGGGACTACATAGTGAGAATCTGCCTAAGATGAAAAAGAACAAAAACATTTTAAAGAAATAAGAAAAGCAAGTAAAAAGAATAGAAAGACAGACGGAAAAGCATCCTGGTGGTGGTGGTGGTGGTGGTGGTGGTGTCAGCGGTGGTGGCGAAGGCCTTTAATCACAGCACTTGGGAGGCAGAGGCAGGCAGATCTCTGTGTTCAAGGACAGCCAAAGATACATAGAGGAATCCTGTCTCAAAAAGCAAACAAAGAAACAAGCAAAAGAAAAAAAGAGAGAGAGAGAGAGAGATGGGAATGCTAACAGATTTCATCTTCACATCATATAGGCATATGCTGTTATCAAGATGAACACAATCATAACGAGAGCATTAGAATTACCTGTCCGGGTAGAAACCCCAGTGCACTAGCACCTGCTTGTCTCTCCTCATCACTGGCCTCAGCCACTCCTCTGAAGGAAGGAAAAAAAACCATCAAAACATGAACTGAATTAATTTACCATTTAAAAAAATATGTAATTGTATGTATATGTGTATGTATGTTCCCCAGTGTCATATTTGTATACCACGTATGTGCAAGAGCCAAGAGGTCAAACAAAATGTATACTACTGGGAATCAAACCCTGGTTCTCCACAAGAGCAGGTTAGTGTTCCAAATTTTAAGTTTCCCAACTGAAGCCACCTGTCAGATTAAAGGACATTTCTGGAGCTGTGGTAATACCAGTCAATATGGTTTTCGCCATCAAGACTTGAGGACTAAGATCAAATCCCAGAAGTAAGATAAAGAGCTGATGGGGCTGGTGAGATGGCTCAGAGGTTAAGAGCACTGCTTGCACTTCCAGAGGTCCTGAGTTCAATTCCCGGGAACCACATGGTGGCTCACAACCATCTATACTGAGATCTGATGCCCTCTTCTGGCATGCAGAGGAGCACTCACATACACAGAAAAGCAAATAAATAAATAAAACAAATAAATTAAAAAAAAAAAAAGAGCTGAGAGGTGGGAAAGTTGGCTCAGCAGTCCAGAGCACATACCTATATTTAGCTCAAAACCATCTATAAGCCCAGTTTCAGGGAAGACAACAGGCCCACGATAGGTGTGTACATGTGCATGCAGACAAAACATTCATACACAGTAAGTACAAAAATAAATCTACCCTAAAAAGTAATGCTACTAAGGTGAGTGTGGCAGTGTGCATGCTCTCCAGCACTGGGTGAGCCAGTCGAGGCAGATCTTCACAGAGGCAGAGCTTCACAGAGGAAGATCTGTGAAGCTCACTGGTCAGCTAGTCTTGCCAACTAAATGAGGAGCTAAAAGTTCAGTAAGAGCTGATTCAGGGGGCTGGAGAAACTTACTCTTCCAGTGGTCCTGAGTTCAATTCAAGGCAACACATGGTGGCTCACAACTATCTAAACTGTGATCTGATGCCCTTTTCTGGCATGCAGGTGTACATGCAGATAGATCACTCACCTATACAATGAATGAATGAATGAATGAATTAATGAATGAATGAATGAATGAATGAATGAATGAATCTCTTAAAAGGAAGAAAAGTTGATTCAAAAGGAACATGAAAGGTTCAAGTGTGGGTTGGGGAAGGACTGACACAAGAGTTCAGTTCCCAGCACTCATACTGGGTAGCACACATCAACCCCCATTAATTCCTACTCTGAGGGGCCCAATGCCTTCTTCTTACCTATGAAGGTACATGCACATGCATCTATTCCCATGCAAACATACACAATTAAAAATAAACCTTAAGGCAGTGGTGGAGAGCGCCTTTAATCTCAGCACTCCAAGGCAGAAGCAAGTGGATCTCTTGAGACAGAGGCCAGCCTGGTCTACAGAGTGAGTTCTAGTACTGCCAATGTCACACAAACAAACCCTAGCTCGAGAAACCAAGACATACTAACTAAATATAAATAGGTGAATGAATGTAAATCTTAAAAAAAAAAACAACCAGCAGAATGTGATCAAGAAACTCAGTGCCTATGTCTCTGACTACCATGTGCACACACATGCATGAATAACTTCCTTCGTATGTGCACCTACTATAGGTCCAAAACAATAAAGAAACTGCTTATGGACAATGTGAGTGTTGGTTCTCTTTCTACTATATGGGATTGAACTCAGAGGTCAAAAGCCTTGCCAACAAGTGCCTTTAAACACTGAACCATCAACAAACCAACCTCTGGACTGACTAAAACTAGTAAAAATTGCATTAGGAATAATGACTCTATCTCCAAAAATTATGCTACCTTTCCTACAGAGTGAGTTCTAGACAGCCAAGGTTACACAGAGAAACCAGTCTTGAAAAACACACAAGCCAAAAAAGAAAAAAGTAAATTAGAATATCAAGTTCCAGGACAGGAAGGGCAATAGAGAGCAAGCCTGTCTTTAAAAACAAACAAACACAAACAACAAAGCCAGGCCTGGTGATACACACTTGTAATCCCAGCACCCTGGGAGGCAGAGGCAGGCTGAGCTCTATGAGTTTGAGGCCAGCCTGGTCTACAAAGCCAGTGAGTTCCAGGACAGCCATTACAGACAGCTACACTAGAGAAACCAATCTCAAACAACCAACCAACCAACACAAAACAAAAAACAAACCAAAACAACAACAACAAAACAGAAATAAAGAAAAAAAAAACCCCAACATTTTACAAATCTGAAAAGAACCAATGAACTTAAAATTTACTTTTTGTTCTGTACTTTTTTTTATTTGTTTTGTTTTTCAAGACAAGGTTTCTCTGTGTAACCCTGGTTTTCCTGGAACTCATTCTGTAAATCAGACTGGCCTTAAACTCCCAAAGATCTGCCTGTTATCTGCCAGGAGTGCTGGGATTAAAGGCGTGTATGGACTACTGGTCAGCAAATTAACTTTTTTAAAACATATGTGCTCAAACAGATGATGAGAGAAGCTGATGACAGATCACTTGAAATACCAAGTCATTGGAAGGAAAAGGAATGAAGTGAAGAAGTCTAAGGGATTTTATTAAGTAGATCAATAACCCTACAAAGCAGCATCATTTGGGAGTGTGAACAATAGCACTGTGAGATCCTTAAACAAAAACAAAACAAAAAAAACAACAACACAGAAACCACCACTTTATGTTAAGGGTGGGTATTCAAGGCTAGAAATATTTGGGCTAGTGTGATGGCCCAGCCAATCCATACTCTTGCCTCCAAAGCAACTGACTTCAATTTGAATCACAGGACCCTATACACAGAAGAAAACCTATTCACACAAGCTGTCCCCTGGCCTCTACCAGCTCACTGTGGCACAAGGGTTCCCACATGTAAACATGTAACATAACAAATTTAAAAACTGAGAGATTAAAAAAAATACGGAGGTGGAAGGAACAGCTAGTGACGGGCCCTCATCCCATCCCCAACATATTCTCAGCATTCAGGAGCTGAGGGCATAAAGGTATCAAGTTTAATTTATTTGTGGCTTCACAGAGTTCAAGGCCAGCCTTGGGTATATGCAACCCTGCCTCAATTTATACATATATCAAACAAGTTTATCCAACTAGCATCTTCTTATTGGACTCCCTGACAGTCAATAACCTATCTGAGGCTTCCCTCAGATCCCTGTATTTGTAGCAGTTCACAGCAAAACCAACAGAGCTAATATATGAATGCTCAAATCACCAGATTTGCTAGAAAAAAAAATCTAAGTGGTTAGAACACCAGACAACACAGGTTAAGTCTCTTTCTAAAGGACTTAAGCAATCTACTCAGACTAACACATGCCAGGCAACTGATAAATTAAACAAAACAACGAACTCTGTTCAAATGGTGGTGTACTTATTTAGCCATGTTTTAGAAGGTTGCATTACACCTTACAGTACAATGTATGCATTAAAGAGCTCACAACCAACAGCTAACTTACCATCCTCTTGTGAGGAAGGATATGGATAAATATGGTGGGAAGCTTTTGACTTCTCATCAGTAAATGTCCCCTGCAAAGGAAATAAACAAGTAACATAAAAATAAGGCAAATGACAAACAAAGTGTTACATATTGGAATGATGGTTAACAAGACAAAAAAAAAAAAAAACCTTTCTAGATACACAAGTAAGGACAGAATACTCTTTATTAAAAATGCTTGGTTCCTAAGTGTTTCAAATTTCTGAATTTTTCAGATTTGGGGCTATCTGTACAGACTTTACCAACTACCATTAATGCAAAACAAAGAAATTCTCCAAAACTCAAACCTGTTGAGGACTATGATAGCATTCAAAATGTTTTAAGTATCTTTACTACTGTGGTAGTTTGAAGAAGTTTGGCCCCATAGACTCATGTGCTTGCATGCTTGGCCATGGGGAGTGGCACTATCAGCAGGTGTGGCCTTGCTAGAGGAAGTGTGTCACTGTGGGGTAGGCTGTGAGGTCTTTTAGTAGTACTCAAGCTCCTCCAGTGTGGAACAGTCCCCTTCTACTGCCTGCAGAATGAGGGTGACCCCAGCCAAGACTCACAGCAGTGGGGATATGAAACCCGAAGTTGGCCACCTCCTGTGGTCAGGTGGGACTTCCAGGGGAAGGAGGGGAAAACCAACCAACTGATAAAACCTTCAACCCAAAATGTGTCCTGCCTTCAAGTGTGGGGTTAAAGACGGAGCAGATCTTGAGGAATGGCCAACCAACGACAGGCCTAACTCATGAGAGAGCACCAACTCCTGACACTGTTAATGATACTCTGCTATGCTTGTAGACAGAAACCTCACATAACTGTCTTCTGAGAGGCTTCATCCAGCAGCTGAAGGCAACAGATGCAGAGAGCCACAGCCAAACAATAGGTGGAGCTTGGCAGTCTTGTGGAAAGAGTTAGAAGACTGAGGAAATCAGAGGGGTCACGGACAACACAAGACAACCTACAGAATTAGCTAACCAGGGCCCATGGAAGCTCAAAGAGACTGAACCACAAACTGAAAGAGCATGCATAGGCTGGACCAAGGATTCCTACATGTATGTAGCAGATGTGCAGCTTGTTCTTCAAATGGGTCTCTTAACAGCTGGAGCCAGGGCTGTCTCTGACTCTGTTGCCTGCTCTGGATCTGTTTCCCACAGCTGTGCTGCCTTGTCTGGCCTCAGTGTGAGAGGATGCTCTTAGTCCTGCTACTACTTCATGTGCCAAGGTGGGCTGGTACCCATGGGGGAGGGGAGTACCCTCCTCTGAGAAGAGGAGAAAATGATGAAACAAATTTGAGGGTGGGACTAGGAGAAAAGGAAGGAGGGGGCAGGGATCTGGCTGTTAAGTGATTAAATAAATAAATTAATGGAAAAAAAAAAGATGCAGAACTCTTGGCCCCTCCAGCACCATGTCTGTCTGCACGATGCCATGTTTCCCACCATGATGATGATGGACTAAACCTCTGAAACTGTAAGACAGCCTTTATAAGAGCTGCCTTGATCATGGTGTCTATTCACAGCAATTAAAACCAAACTAAGACAACCATCCACCATGCAAGGTGGTACACGCCTGTGATCCATCGTTCCGGAAGGTAGAGGAAGGCTGATTGCTGTTAATTCCAGGCCATGTTGTTCTACAAGGTAAGTCCAAGACACTCAAAACTACAGAGAAAGTTTTGTCTCGGCAAAAAAAAAAAAAAAAAAAAAGACAATCATCAGTAAGCATACCTCAGGTTCTTAAATTTGCAAACCACCATAAAAATGAGCATGGGAATGCAACAACATAAGGGTAACTGTGATATGTATTCGTTTCGCAAAATAATTTTAGTCAGAGCTGGAGAAATGGCTCAGAGGTTAAAAACACTGGCTATACTTCCAAAGGTCCTGAGTTCAATTCCCAGCAACCACATGGTGGCTCACAACCATCCATAATGAAATCTGGTGCCCTCTTCTAGCATGCAGGCATATATGCAGGTCAAATACTGTATAAATAATAAACAAATAAAATATTAGTCAGCCCTCTAATGTGAGAGCTCAGGAAACAGGAAGCCAGAACTGAAGGCCATCCTCCAACTCACTAAGTCTGAAACTATTCTAAAGTACTTGAGACTGCCTCACAAAAACAAATAACAAAACAAAAGCAAGAAGGCCCAGGTTTCAAGTATGTAACCTCGGCTGGCCTCAAACTCTAACCTTTGCCTAATTGTCCAGCACAAATTATCATTAACTAACATGAATTTTGGCAGACAAACTGGGGCTACATCATGGAACACCTGAATCAACCACAGCGTACCTTATCTATGTATGATGTTGTCATTTTATATCACTGCTAGAAAACTAGTATAATAATTATGGTTAAAATATGGTGAGGCCAAAGACTACTAAATATATCTAGAGCATGAACTCAAAGCCATTCAGACTAACAACTCATTGTTGAGACCATACGAATAAGAGAAAGTTGAGAATTCAGTTTTCAGTAGCAGCTCAAGGCACCCTCTACTACAGTTCTTGAACAATGATTATTTTACTCATTATTCCAACCAAATAATATAATGCCACTTCATCTGCAGAAAACTGGAAAAGTAAAAAGTTTACAACTACCTAAAAAGAAAGATGGGAAGAGTATCACCACCCAATGAGTATGCGTCAATGTACAACAGCACATCCAGAAGCTTGGCCTGTGGAGCCTGTCACTGCTGCTTTTGAGCCTCAGCTCTGTGTTTTACTTAGATGACATAGCATGTCTTCTTTGAAGTAGAGTAATACATTTCATGTTCATTGGTGTTTTGCTAGCATATGTGGCTATGTACCAACACAGTGCCTGTGCCCAAGGAGGCCAGAAGAGTGTGTTGGATCCCCTAGACCTAAAGAAACAAAAGATTGTGAGTAAACTGCCATGTGAGTGCTAGAAGCCAAACTGGTGTCCTCTGGAAGAACAGCTTATGCTCTTAGCCTGAGCCATCTTTCCAGCTTCATGACTTTTTAAAAAGATGTTTATTTTACATATATGAATGTTTTGCCTGTATATTTGACTTTCCACATGTGCCTAGGGGTCAGAAGACAACTTGAGGTGTCCTAGACCTAGAGTTACAGGTGGTTGTGAGTTACTGTGCTCTTAACCACTGAACCATCTTTCCAACCCTGAATTTTTCTGAGTTTGAAAAATGGCTCAGAGTTTAATAGCACCCCTGGCTGCTGAAAAGTTGGTTCAGAGCATCCTGTATGAACAGTTCCAGGAAATCTGAGGCCTTCTTCTGGTCTCAACAGCTACCCTCATATACATACATTTAAAAATAAGCAATAAATAAGCCTGGCTCAATGGCAGAAGACTTTTATCCCAGTACTCTAAAGATAGGCAGATCTCAGTGAGCCAAATGGGTCTACATAGCGAGTTCCAAACCAGCCAGAACTATATAGAACCTGCTTCAAACGAACAAACAAACAAATAGATGACCAGGTAGATAAATGAATGAATAAATTAATTCAGGGTTAGCCAGTAACTCATTTAAAAAGCTCCAGTGAGGTTGTGGTGATTACTGCTTAAGAAAAGTATTATTACTAGTGACTCCCAGGTCTGTTCCCTACAATTCCATGAAACCATAGCTGGAGCTAAATAAAACATTTCAAACGTTAATATTTTTTGCAGCAGGAAAAACAAGGTATTTCATGAGGCTTCTGAACTAATTCTGGACTTTAGTAAAACACTATCACATAAATGATGTACCTAGATATCCTCAGCTGCCAGACTGCACTTAAAACAAACAAACAAACAAACAAACAAACAAACAAACCCCTCAGCTAAAAATGAAATAAGATGATCAAAACACCACCAGCGGTTAACAGTGTTTTGTTCTTATTGGTCAGTCTTGCTATTATATGATTATGAGATTATATAGGTCACGTTAACTGTTTACGCAAACTTGTAAGACTATCATACCTCATCGCAGTAACAAATGTTTCAAAAAGGTTATGTGGGAACTCAGAGAAATTCTTCCTTTAAAGCAAATACAAAGTAAAAATTTTGGCATTTACTGAAGGTTTACTACAACTGCACTAAATTGATCATGTTTATTACCTGATGCCGTTTGATGATATCTTTCAACTTATTCGCCAACTTCAAATCAATGTCTGGAATGAGGTAGATGTTGGGTCTAGTCAGACAATTACTCTGAGAAAACAAATTCAAATGGTTTTGAAATGATGCACATTGATTATTCATCATCCTCACATCTTACTCATTTTAAAAAATGCTTTATTGGATGTGTTCACTAAGGCACACATGTAGCGGGAGACATTCTCTGTCATATGGGTACTACACTAAGATCAGTTCTGGCAGCAAGTGCCTTTACCCACTGAACTATCTCACAGACCCGATTACTCATGATCTTAATGGCTGAAGTTGACATTTAAACCTACAATTCCTTTTTAAAAAAGACTAATTAATTTATTATATAGTATTCTGCCTGCATGTGTGCCTGCAGGCCAGAAGAGGGCACCAGATCTCACCACAGACAGTTGTGAGCTACCATGTAGCTGCTGGGAATTGAACTCAGGACTCTTTATCTCTTCAGCTCCTAAACCTATGTTTTGTAAGATAGGAAGATATCTTTTTTTGGGGGGTGGAGGTGGAGTGGTGGTGGTGATATGGAGACAGGATTTCTCCTGGTGTCCTGGCTGTCCTAGAAATCACTCTGTAGACCAGGCTGGCCTTAAATTCAGAGATCTTCCTGCCTCTGCCTCCTTGAGTGCTGAGATTAAAGGTGTCTGGCACCATGACCAACTTGGAAGACATCTTTTTGCTACACAACAGTCTTATTTCAAAATAAAACTTAGATGGCTCAGCAGGCTACTAAAAGAATCCCCAGATCCCTTCTGCAGTTAGACAAAGATTGTTGAAAATCATTTGAATGAAATTACTGCTAAAATATAGCATGGTCAGGGGCACTAGGTCTTTATTGCCAGCATTCTAGAGGCAGAAAGCAACTGATTTCTGTGAGTTCCCGGACAGCCAGAGCTACACAGCAAGACCCTGTAGCTTCGAGTCTCAACACCCACCACCATAAACAAACAGATAAATAAATAAATCGGGAGATGACTCAGCGGGTAAAGTGCTGTGAAGCATAAAATACTGATTCTGAATGCTCAGAACCCACATACAAGCTGAGAGTAGTAGCACAGATCTGTAGTCCAAACTGATATCTGAAGCGCAAGAGACAAGCTATCACCCAAGAGCTTCTTGGCCAGGCACTAGCCAAAATGGTTACGGTCCATTCTTTCTCAAAAAGGCGAGGTAGAGAGACAGCTCACTGGTTAAAAAAACCAGCTGTTCTTCCACAAGACTTGAAGTCAACTGCCAGCACCTACATGGCAGCTCACTCCAGTTACAGGGAATCTGATGCCCTCTTCTGGTCATAGGCACGGCACACACATGGTATAGTCATACACTCAGGCAAAACACTCACATACATGAAACATTAAATAAGAGCAAAGTCTTTTTTTTAAATTAGGTGAGGGCTAGTGTCCGGCGATGGCTCTGTCCATGAAACTGCTCGCTGTGCACGCCTGTGAACCTGACCTCAGTCCCCAGCACCACACAACAGTGGAGACAACTGACTCACAAGTTGTTGTCTTACCTCTTTCACACATCCTGTGGCACGTGTGTACACAATCACACATTATACACACACATATAAACAATTAGTTTCAAGCTAGGCACTGGTGGCATACGACTTTAATCCCAGCATCTGGGAGGCAGAGAAAGGCTGTCTCTGAGTTCAAATACAGCCTTGAACTCAGAGTGAGTCACATAGGGAAACCCTGTCTCCAAAAGAATGAAAGAAAGAGAGAAAGAGGAAAGAAAAGAAAGAAACCAGCAACAACAAACCATGAAGTGGAAATATCTGTCAGTGGTACAGTGCTTGTCTAGCCTAGCTCATGGCCCTGGGTTCCACCCTCAGCACCATAAAAACAAAAGGAAAAAAAAAGCATTCTTATATCTAGGTAAGAGGAAAGTAGACATTTATTATACAACCATGAAATTGATCTAAAAAAAATGACTCCACAATAAAGTCTACATTATGAAGACAGTGCTTGTTCTAAGCAAACAAAAAAACAAAACAAAATGCAACAAAAATGACAGGGTGCGGTAGTGTACCTCTTTAATCTCAGCTATCAGGAGGCAGAGGGAGGCGGATCTCAATGCTCTCTATTGGTTTCAGGTCCTCTAGAGCTCCACAGTGAGAAAAGTGACTCAACCAATGAAGAAAAATAGCACACATTATTCCACTAAAACTGTCAGACACTAGGTGGACATAGTACCACATGTCTTTAATCCAGCACTTGGAAGGCAAAAGGAAGAATCTCTGTGAGTTCAAGGCCAGCCTGGTCTTTAGAGTGAGTTCCAGGACAGACAAGACAAAACAAAGAGATGCTATCTTAAAAATAAGAAGAGAAAAATGTTAAGACACTGATAACCTTTAAATAACCAGACCAATCACAGCTCTAATCTCAATACACATAAAAACAATAGAATTCTGTATTGCAGAGAATTCAATAAAGATAATATTAGAATGGGAAGTATATTAAAGAATAAATTAAACTTTTAAGCTGAGGGAGTGATTCATGTATCTAAATTTAGGAATGGGAAATATCCTGAGGCAAGACGTTTAGGCCAGCCTGGGCCTAAAGAAACCCTATCTAAAAACATGACAGAAGGGAAAAGGAAAGACAAGGAGATTAGGATTAGGGGGATGACCCACACAAATAGGCCTAATTCTCCAACTTACCTGTACCAATGTTTTTTCAATGTTCATGAACATTTCAACATTACGATCCATTCGAGATGGATTCTGAAGATCAAATCTCCGCCTAAGAGGAAAAAAAAAAAAGAGAGAGAGAACTTTACTAAGTTTATCTTCAATCTTTTAAACACAAGTAGAAACTCTTTAGAATATTTCTTTAAATGATTTACTCGATTTTATTTTATGAGCATTAGTGTGACGGTGTCAAATCCCCTCGAACTGGTGTCACAGACAATTGTCAGCCGCCACGTGGGTGCCGGGAATTGAACTGGGGTCCTTTGGAAGATCAGACAGAGCTCTTCAAAACTGAGCCATCACTCCAGCCCCTCGATTTTAGAATTTAAATCAAATGAATTAGAAAGGCTTAGAAACTAAGCTAGCACCATATAAAGTTCATGAAGAAATTCTGAGTCCTAGAGAATACCATTATCAATACCATCATGATAGACAACACTCTGACAGGACAAAGCCATGAGTAAAGGCACCTGCCTTCAATCCCAATGACCTAAAGTCAAGCCACAGAACCCACACAGTGAAGAGGACAGAGCCCCAAAAGTTGTCTTCTGACCTCCACCAACCTACCCATACACACACAAAGTTAAAAATAAACGCTTAATATTTTTTAAAAGAGATACCCTAGTCAAATCAAAGTACCAAATGCCATGAATTCCCATTTTCCTTCAGTTTAGGACATATTACATGATATAAAAAAGGAGGAGTTCACAAGGTTGGGGACATAGCAGACACAGTAGTACACGCCTTTAATCCCATAATTAGGGAGGCAGAGGCAGGTAAAACTCATGAGTTCCAGGCCAGCCAAGAATACAAAAACCTTGTCTCAAAAAAAGGAAAAAGGAATTTTGGTTATTTTATGAGACAGAGACAGAAGTACAACACACACAAATGGGTACCCCGGTACGTGTAGGGAAGTCAGAGAGAAATGCTCATGACTATGCAAATGAAGAAAAAGATATGCTAATAATCACTTAGCCCTGTCTAAGCCCCACAGCAGGAGGAGCACAGCTGCCTAGCTCCAAAGGTCTCCATGGCCATCTACACTCACATGTACATACACCCCCAGACACACATACTTAACCAAAAACAAACAAACATATAAACAAAAATAAAATTAAAATCTTCATTTTTTTTTCCAGTAAACCATGTTAAATGAATTATACTCATATACCAGCAAATTTCAAAACATGGGCGTGTCTGTATCTACAGCACTTGAGAAGTAAACTCAGGAGGTGATAATGAAGAGTGCCCATGGACAACATCCTTCTCCCAGGAATCAGCAACCCTAAAAGTATGGGTGAGATCAAAATCAAAAGGAACTTTCTATGATAATGATAAGGTATGAAACCTGAAAAGCTATCACCAAATGGGTGATTCAATGTCAGGAAACAAAGGGTGGAAAAAGCCTAGAGACAGTTAGATCCTAGAAACAGGTATTTGCATAGGGAAAGACAGGTCTATCATATCAAAGCACTCTAAAAGTTACTTTGAGCTATAGGTATGAATTTAAGAATAAGAAAGTTGGTTTGAATTCTTGGTACATTGTATTTTAAAGCTGCGATTAAATAAGAAAACAGCATTTTAAATATCCGATTTAACACATACATGCACAAGTTAAAAGATCTAAACTATCTTGGTGCTAGAAAGACAACCATTCCTGATGGAAGACTTGAGGACAATATAAAGAACTATTTTTTTGGAGACAAATTTCATGTGTTCCAGGCTAGCATTGAAAATAACCATGTGGCTGAGAATCTTAAACTCCCAATCCTCCTGCTTCATATCCCCAGTGCTGAGAATGTAATAACCATGACACACGTTTGAGCATGTTTCTGAAAATATAGGTTAAATACCTAACAAGAGGTTAATATAAAGAATGTAATTAAATACCTAACAAGAGGTTAATAGAAAGAGGTTAATATAAAGAGTTCACATAAAAGTCTGACTTTAAAATGGGAGAAGACCCAAATGGAAAAGGCATACAAATGCTCAACATGAAAAAAAAAACAAAAACAAAAAACAATATTGCAATCCATCAAGGAAATGCAATTCAAAACTGCAATGAGATGTCATCTCATATGTCCTCACTCAATCTGACAGCCTAGACTCATCTGAGAAAGTCTCAATTGACAGACTGCCCAAATCAGATTAGCCTGTGGCCTTGCCTGTGAGGAATTCTTAGACTGAAGATTGATGAGGCAAGGCGGTTTGAGTTCCTGCCTCATTGTCCTCAGTGATGGACTGTGACCTGGAAATATATGCCAAATAAATGTTTTCCAACCCAAGTCCATTTTGGCCAGAGTATTTAATCACAGTGTGGTATTTGAATGAGAATGACCCCACAGGCTCATATGTTCAGGAAGTGTGGCCTTGTTGGAGAGGGTGTCATGGGAGCGAGGTTTCAAAAGCCCACACCAAGCCCAGAGTGTCAGATGCCTGAGGATCAGGGTGTAAAGCTCTCAGCCACTGCTCTGGCACCATGTTACTTCCCACCATGATAGGCAGGCAAGCTCTCAATTAAATGCTTCCTCCCAAGAGTTGCTTTAGTCAAGTCAGGTGAGATGTCACACACCTTTAATCCCAGCATCTGAGAGGCAGAGGCAGGTGGATCTGTGAATTCAAGGCCAGCCTGGTCTACAAAGTGAGTCCAGAAGAGCTATCACACACACACACACACACACACACACACACACACACACACACACGCACACAAACACCCTGTCTTGAAAAACCAAAAGAAGAGTCAGGCATAGTGGTGCAAGCCTTGGGATTCCAGCACTCATGGAAGCAGAGGCAGGTGGATCTCTATGACCAGCCTGGTCTACAAAGTCCAGGACAGCCAAGGCTACAAAGAAACCCTGTCTCAAAAACTAAAAAGTTGCCTTAATCATACTATCTCCTCACAGCAATATAACAGTAACTAAAACACACAGCAACAAAATGAAACTAGAACATTATCTATGTTGCAATGATTATAAAAGAGAAAAATAACAATGTGACACCAGAGAAACAGAACTCTCTTAAATCACTGGCAGAAATATTAATGAAACTAAACCTGGTGGCTCAGGATTATATCCCAATTTTAAGGAGACTGAGGCATGGTAACTTCAATTCAAGGGCAGCACAGCCCACACGGCCTACAAAGTGAGGCTGTTGAAAACTACATTCTAAGCAGGAAGAAGGGTGCAGATAGAGCTTAGCAGCACAGCTCAGGACCCCACGCAAAGGCCCCAGCAATAAACAGAAAAAGATTAGAATGAGTTTACCAATCATTCAAAGCAGGGTATGTTTTAGCTTGGTCCCTGAAGAAACTTATGTAAGAAACAGTTTACTTGGTTACCAGGCTACAGTCCATTAGCAGCAGAGCCAAGGCAAAAACTGAAGCTGTCATGGAAGAGCGCCCGTGGCTTGTTCCTCATGGCTTGCTCGGTTTGCTTCATCTTCTGCTACCCCCTGGACCCCAGGGATGGCACAATCTGAATAGTAGGCTAGGCTTTTCCCAATCAAAAAAGAAAATAACCTACAGGCTTGCCATAGGCCAATAAAATAGGGGTATTTTCACAACTCATGTTCCCTGTTCTCAGATAACTCTAACTTATATCAGGTTGACCAAAATAAGACAAAACAAAAAACAAATGACCAAACAAAAACAAAAACAAAAACAAAAAAAAACCATAGTACAGCTCCTTAAAAAGTTAAAAACAAACATACCATAAAATACACCTATGCTTAGCCGGGTGTGGTAGCACATACCTTTAATCCCAGCAGTAAAGGCAGGCTTACCTCTGTGAATTCAAGGACAGCCAGGGCTGTTATATAGAAAATCCAAGAAAAAAAAAAAAAAAAAAAAGATAACAACAACAACACAGCTATATATGTCATTACTGTGTAAATGCAGTAATATATGTCAACACAATAGTCCAGATATGGGATTACCTATAAGAGTTAGCAGGTAGGAAGGGGAATCGTCAAAGAAAAAAAAAAAAAAACAAAACAAAATCACATCATGAATGTGACCTAGAGGCTGATGATAAAAAGCCAGCACTGGTAGAGTATGGTAGTATAAGCCTCTAATTCCAGCACTCTGGAGACAGAAATAGGCAATTTCTTAAGTTTAAGGCCAGCCTGGTGACATAGGGAGGGGTTTCCCCAACAGCCATGGCTATATAGTAACATTGTCTCACACAAAAAAACCAAGCCCCCACCACACACCAGCACTAGAGTCTTCAACTGTAGCCATCTCCAAAGAACACTGAAATTTTACCCAAAATCAAAACATGGATGAAAGACAGAAAAAGAACTAAGGAACATTTGGAATGTTTACAAGAGTACTCAAAAAATTTAAACAACAGGGGCAAGAAAGATAGCTCACTGGGTAATGAAGTTGCCCCTCAAGCCCAGCAACCTGAATCCCACCTCCAGAGTTACATAAAGGTGAATGGAGGAAGCCCACGCTACACAGGCTATATCCTCTGTGCATACATTATAAACATACAAACCTTTTCGAGACAGGATATAAATAGAACAAGAGAAAAATGAATGGTAGACTCATCAAATTTGCAGAACAAATAAAATGGAAGCAGAGCCTAGAAGCTGATGAATGAAGAAAAAAAGAGCACAAGGTGGTACATAACAAAGAACAAAAAATGCAGTTCAGGAAGGGTGGCCTTTGAACGCAAAATTCAGTGGAAAGCCACTTGGGTGCAGTGAGGCACACCTGTAACCCCAGCAGGGCTGTAACAGGGACCTTCAGATGTGTGCGTTAGGCACAGACAAGCCACAGGGTCAGGACTCAAAATTCCAGCAGGGATCGGTGCTGTATACAGAGTGAAAGGTCCATGGTGAGAAAAGAAAACAAACCCAGGGTAGCAGGTTTCTGTGGCAATTTTGATGTGGTCCTACCTAGCAGTGTTTCCTGGGGTGGGAAACCCTGTTTCCAAAAAGGGAAAACAGAGAGAGTGAACAGAACCCACCGCTAATTAGAAACCCGTTCTGATTGTTAATCTGAAAATTTATCTGTACTTCCTAGCCAGCTTTGGGCTAACTCAGCTTTAATTTTATAAACTAAACATCTAAAAATATAGCTTATGTGTGGCATGGACCGTGTAGCCCTAAGTTAGAGCTCTAGCACTGAAAAAAAAATTAAAAAGCCAAAGTAAACAAACTAGGACATGGTACACACCTATGATCCCAGCGCTCAGGAAACAGAGGTGGGTGGATCACAAGTTCAAACCCAGGTGAGCCACACATGAAGTTCAAGGCCAGCCTGGACTTACTGAGTTCCTTGTTCCTGGGGCTAGAGAGATGCCTTAGCAGTTCAGAACACTTGCTGTTCTTGTACAGAACTGACACCTACATGGTAGCTCACAGCTGTTTATAGCTTCCGTTCCAGGGAACCAAACTCCCTGTCTATGGTCTTCATGTCACCAGGTACATAAACGGCACACCCAGATACATGCAAACATTCATACAAATGAACCAAAAAAAAAAAAAAAAATCTTTTATTGAAAAAAAAAAAACCCACAAAAACTGGCTTTTAAAGCATATAATTAAAAACAAAACACCAGGCATGATGGCAGAGACCTGTAATTCAACCATTTAGGAAGTAGATACTGGATAAAGTTTGAGGCTAGCCTTGGCTACATGTTAAATAAACTAACACAGAAATTATATGCACATTCCCTTCAAACAATACTAAAATTACAAACTAAACTCAGAGAATGAAATAAACAGCCAAGAGATACCAACAGGTGAGAGACAGGAAGCGCGAAGGGAGGAGAACTGACACGTTATTGCCATCACTGACCCAGGAAAAGGTCTGCATTGCTCCTAGTCAGGTCACTATCACAAATTATGCAGTCTAATTTACATTTGGGAAATTACAGGGGTCAGCCCATCTGGCATGCAATGAATAAGCCTCACCTGGAGAAAACACTGATAATCATGGAATCTTCCCTACAATCAGTTTTATCCCCTAGGGCTTGAGGGTGGCAATGTAGAAGTCAGTAGAGCCTATGGTCCAGCAGCATCAGCTCTGCCTTCCCTTCCCCTTCAGATCTCTCTGTACCAGAACTAGTAAGAAGGCAATTACCGCACTGAGATTCCACCCCAGGGAACACTACTGGGTAGGATGAGATCAAGATTGCCACAGACACCTGCTGCCCAGGGTTTAACTCCCAAAATCCACAGTAAAGAAGAGAGCCAACAGCTGACAAGCTATGGTATAACCTCGCCATGAATGCGTGGCACGCAGTGCATGTGCACACATGCCAGCACTGAGGGGACAAGAGGCAGCAGGATGTGTCAGTTCTAGACCAGGCGGAGCTTCTAAGCAAGACCTTATGTTAAGAGAAGAGGAGGAGGAGGAAGAGAAGGAAACCTGAGGCTGGAGAGATGGCTCAGATGTTAGGAGCACTGGCTGCTCTTCCAGAGGACCCAGGTTCAATTCCTAATCACATGGCAGCTCACAACTGTCTCTAACTCCAGTTCCAAGGGATCTGATGACTTCATACTTTTGGATAAACAATAATGCACATAAAATAAAAAAATAAGGAAGGAAGGAAGGTAGGTAGGAAGGAAGGAAGGGAAGGAAGGAGGGAGGGAGGGAGGGAGGGAGAAACCCTGCTTTCTAATGTATACAACTTCACATTATACATTTCATAGGAGCCAATTTTTTCCTTTGTTAATGCTATATGCCTAACCAGGAAAGATGTCTCATGCCTTTAATCCCAGCACTCAGGAGACAAAGGCAGATAGAATCTCTTTGAGTTAGAAGCCAGTCTGGTCTACATAGCAGGTTTTAGGATAGCCTTAGCTACTAGAGTTCCCATCTCAAAACAACAACACTAAATAAACAACAAGAACAAAACATACAACACAAATGTGTGTATAAAATTTCCTGTAGCTAGGAATATATAGCAGAAGCACATTCTTAGCATGCACAAGGCCCTCAATCCAATCCCCTGCACCACAAAAATGAAATATACTATTTACCTAATAAAAATTGCTTCTTTGTATAGCGAAAATTGGAGTTTTGATTAAACACACCACACACACACACATAATATAAAGTTCTTTAATCCCAGGTGTGGGGATATAGGGCTGCTCCACAGCAGCTGACTATGATTTGCCTCGTGCTCTGGCAGAGGTGGATCTACTAGTGCAGACAGTTTCTGTGACTGTATTACATTTGGAATTCTGGGGACTTTTCAAAAGGTATAAAAAAATGCTAGAGCCTGTATAGGTGGGTTGTTGGTTACGGTTTGTTAAGAAGTCATGCACAAAGAACAAGATATTAAATACCCTAATAGCAAAGATTAGACTTGTCCTCCCAATCAGCAGGTAGTCTATCAATAACTCTGCTCCCTTTCCAATCCCTAACTTTTTTAAGTAATCTCTTTCCTTTCCTCTCTATCCTTTTTTCTCTCTTACCTAGTGTTAGTGGGTTGAAAAGGTGGATGAAAGAACCCACAAAGTAGCAAAGGTCAGCAACATCTTTGTTTTGTTTTTTTCTGAGGGAGTTAGGTTAGAGACTCACAGAGATCTGCCTGCCTCTGCATCAGGTGTTGGGATGAAAGGTGCATACCACATCTGGCTGAAACTACATCCTTGAGAAAAAAGACTTTAAAAAAATTAAATGCTGAAAACTGACTTAACTGGCCAGGAGGTTAAGAGCATTGGCTGCTCTTCCAGAAGTCCTGAGTTCAGTTCCCAGTAACCACATGGTGGCTGACAACCATCTATAATGAGGTCTGGTGCCCTCTTCTGGCATGCAGGTGTACACACAGGCAAAAGACTATACACATAATAAATAAATAAATCTTAAAGATAGCTTGTTTTGTGGGAAAAAAATCTTAAAAAACAAAACAAAACATCAGGCCTTACCTTGCCATTAATAGCAATGTTCTTGCAGAATCCTCTATATACAAAGAAATATGATTTCACATATCACATCAAAACATGCAAATAAATTTAAAAAACTTACCACCCCTGTTCATTTTTGTACTTGTAAGCAGCCCCAAGAATGTGACACAAGGTGCCTCCAGCTTTGAAATCCATAAAACATTTTGCCTAAAAACGACAAATTGCACAAGGGAAACATAAGGTTCTGACAAAATAATTCACATTATACTTGCACCCCAAGTGCTGGGATTAAAGGCGTGCACCAGCACCACCCAGATTTCATTTTTCAAAAACAAGCTCTCATGTAGCCCATGCTGGCCTCAAATGAAATGCAGCTAAGATTGACTTTAATCTTTCTGTCTCCAAGCTAAAGAAGTTATTTTTTTTAAGTTGTAAAATTACATTTACAGTTGAAAAATGAGAAACCTTGCCTCCCAAAAAACAAAACAAACAAATAAAATTACATTTACCAGGCTAAAGAGATGGCTCAGCACTTACTACTTTTGCAGAGACCTGGCTTGGTTACCAACACCCACACAGCAGCTCACAACTGTCTAAAACATCAAATCTAGGAGATCTAAAGCTCTTCTGATTTGTACAAATCCTACACTCAAGCACACACATCTACACAAAGTAATTAAACATTTAAAAAAATATTAAGCTGTTAAAAGTAAATGAATAGCTGGCAGCGGTGGCACACACCTTTAACCCCAGAGCTAGAGGCAGAGGCAGGCAGATCTCTGAGTTCAAGGCCAGCCTGGTCTACAAAGTCCAGGACAGCCAGGGCTACACAGAGAAACTCTGTCTGATGAAAGAAAAGAAAAGAAAAGAAAAGAAAAGAAGAGAGGAGAGGAGAGGAGAGGAGAGGAGAGGAGAGGAGAGGAGAGGAGAGG